AATGACAACCTATACTGAGATTTACAAAAGAGTTACAGCCACCACTACCCTCTTCTTAAACAAGGCATGTTCCAGTGTCCAGAGTCCGGAACATCCCTGGACACTGAGTGCCAGTCCACCCTGTACACTCCTGGGGGTAATGAGGATGGTGGTAGAGGGGTTACCTACATGCTGGCTGGCTCGAGAAGGGGCAGCAGAAGGGTACAGAAGGCCTACTGAGGACTTTGGAGTCCTAAGCTAGTGTCTGGCTGGATCTAGGGGCTGGAAAGTCAGAGCGGAACTAGTAACTCTTCAGTAAGGACATGGGATTAAGTGTTACCTCACTGCAGATCCCTGCCCACCCCCACCTGCCCTTGTTCAGTCCTGAGACCCTTCCTTGAATTCAAAATAGACTGGGAGTCATTCATATTTGAAGACTTAGAGTGCTATCACTCTGGAAAGCTAGGCAAATTAAGTGACTTAAAGAGGACCTGTATCAAAGAAAAAAGAATTACTGTAAGTATGTGAAGTGATGGCTATACTAATTAACTTGATTGTAGTAAACATTTCACAAAATACATGTACCTCAACACATGATGTTACAGCTGGGCACGCTGGCACATGCACACTTATAGTTAATCCCAGCGATCAGGAGGCTGACTGAGGCAGGAGGATCACTGTGAGCTCAAAGCCAGCCTGGACTACAGAGCAAGATCCTGTCTCAAAAAAACAAAAACAAAAAACAAAACCAAACAAAACGGCACAAAGAGTCCCAGAATCCCATAGTTCAGCTGAGCCTTTCAGTGGATGGTGGGGATAGACTAAGGGCTAGCTGATCACCTTCCTTCTTGAGGGCGCAGTCCTTTTCATGCTCAGAATATTGACATATTGGGTCTAAGTCCCAGGGAACGTGGGGCCCTACTCTGGGCCAGAGTGACCTTTGGACTTTGGAAAGAAGCACTCTAAAAGTATAGGTAGAGCTGCAAACAACTTCAGCTTCCTGGGTGAGAAACCTTGAGCAGGTGTCTAAGGCAGTGAGGAGCTCAGTGCAGGGATCATCAGAGGCCCAGGAGCCTTATTCTGGAGCCAGGTACCCATCACTGGTAAGAGAGTCTCAGTTCTGGTGCTTTTATAGGCATCAGGATACAAACACAGAATTTCTGAGTCAGGTTCCAAAGGCTCCACAGTACTAACAACACAGTTGGCCAAGACTCCCTCTCCCTGATTACTAAGCTTCAACTGCTGGTGAGCAACAGAATTGCCTCACTGACTGAAGTTCAGTCAGTGGTTCTGGAAACAGGTTCTGAGGAAAGTCTATTCAGCTATCAAAGAAGCTCTCTTGGATACCCAGGGGACGGTGCCTCTTTCTGATGCCCCCAATGAGTCTCCACCCTTATGAAGGTGCCGCATCACAGAACACCTGGGAGAAGAATGTATTCCACCTCTTTATTTCCCATCTTCTTAAACCTGGAATGTGTTAGGGTTGCACTAAAAGATCATGATGTGGGGTCCTAAAAAGTAGCCATAAAAGTGCCTCATGACAACTGCATGTCCACACAGTGTAGATGATGAGATGGAGGAAGCCTCAGGCTTTGTGGAGCATGTCATCACAGTCACCTCCAAGCCACACTGTTTCCTAAAATGGCTCACCTTTGGAGGAAGCCAGCAGGTTTCTACTACAACAGAGTATCTGACTAGTGATAGTCTCTTTGAGACATTTCAGTAAAAACTGGGCAAGAACAAAACTTGTAGGCACTGCAGGATATGTATGATCCTGATCCTTGGATCTGTCTGGCTGGAGCAGCTCATGTAAAGTCCAGATGCCTCAGTGGTGTGACCTGACTAGGGCAAGGGAGCGGTTGGCTATGGGAAGCACTGCAAAGCCCTGGTCCCTGACAGAGACCCAGGCCACCCAATGCACCTGCTCACCTGAGGCAGTAAGGGCTGTGGCCCAGCTTGCTGGAAGGACCTAAGGCCAGCAAGCCCTACTCACACTATATGGTGTCTGGGTTAGGGCTATAAATTCCTGCTGTTTCCTTTCAAAGTGTGAAGCTTTCAAGCAAATTTAGCAGGTTCAATTTGTCTTAATAAGAAGTGCTTTACATTTTATTTTATAAGCCTGTGGTTTTCTTTTTTTTTTTTTTTTTTTTGTCTTTTTCTTTTTTTATCGGCACTGGGGATCGAACTCACGACTGCCTGCTTACAAGGCAGGCGCTTATGCCGCTGAGCTAAATCCCCAGCCCTGTGATTTTCATTTTTAAGGCCACAAAAGAATTTAACATCAGCTGACTGATTCTATGGTATTGGTTGAATCGGCTGGCATATGTTGTAAAAAATGCCTTGTGAAAGTTTCTGTGGCAGATTTGTAGCTTTGTGCTGCTACATGTTTGAATCACTGAACAGACTCAGATATAGATCCATTTATATTAAAGTTTGAAATACCAGGGAACTTAATCAATCAAGGTCTTCATGTTTGTGAAATATTTAAAGAGCTCAGGGATTTAATGTATCAAATATATAAGCCCATGGCAGATTAAAAGTAAGCTAAACTGTATTTTCATATTAACACAAAAATTAATAGATTTATAAATAAGATTTTAAGTTGAGTTTGCAAGATTGAGAAAAGCTACTTTTAAGATTATGATTATTGGACATACTTTTAACCCAACAATATTACCTCTAGGAATTTACTCTGAAGATAAATCTCCAACAATATAAAATACAGATGTATAAATTAATTGTGGCCAACCCTGCAAACTGTGGTCATCCACGCATAGAGTTCTTTGTAGCCATAAAGAGAATAAAGAAAAGTCACTGATGTCTAGTATGTTTTTCGTTTTGTTTTTGAAACAATTTTGTTAAGTAAGTTGAACTTGCCAACCTCCTGCCACAGCCTCCCAGGCTGCTTGGATTATAGGAATGGGCCACCTTGCCCAGCTACCACGTGTTCCCCCTCCCCATCCAGCCCACTGGAACAGTTATATTTTAAGGCATGACATGCTGTCTGATTCTTGTGTCACAATAAAGCCAATTAAAATTTTTAGTTAAAATGTGTTACAATTTTGTCTTTTGATATAAGTAAAGTACCTTCTGGGGTTCTGTCATTTTAGAGAATTACCAAGCCTGATGAGAGGTATAGAAGCACATGATTTTTAGTCAAGCAGGGCAGAAGTACAAGAGGCTGGGAGCTCTGGGCTTGTGTCTAGCAAAGGGAGAATGTCTCAAGGGGCTGAACTATTGCTGTGATCTAGACTGATGCCAGACACTGTAGTCAGTGTCAGAAAAGCATAAATGTAGGACTTCAGCTGATGTTAGAGGACTGGTTGTTGTTGGAAGAAGCTCTTCAATAAAAATGCAAAGAAGGAAAAATAGGTAAATATGCATCTGCTTATTTTTCAAAAAGGCAAGAAAAGCCAAACTAAAAACTGATAATACTGATTTCCTTCAGTGTACGAGGTGGGAGGGAATGCAGTTTCTTTCATCCTTTGGAATCATGTCAAAATAGAAAAATCAATAAAATGGAAGAGGGGCCTAAAATGGAACACAAACCATAATAAATCTCTAATTACATGTGAAATAATAATATAATAACACTAATGTGGAAAAAAGAACTAACCCAAGTGATCTTTGAGCTTGTACTTACACTGTGTGCCCTCAGATTAAACACACACACACACACACACACACACACACACACACACACACACACCTCTAAGCAAATACCTAAGTCTAATGTCTTGGCTTATTTTTTTGGATACTAATTCCAACATATTCTGGGATTGAGCAGGTAAATATAGGGAAGCTAACAGCAACTGGTTCCTCCTTGTTGGAGAAGGGAGTTCTAACTGGGAAGAGAAGAAACAAATCCTGAGGTTCTGTATTGGATTGAAAGTATCACATGAACTCATGGAGATTGCACGTGTGTGTGCGCACCTGTGTGCACACAGAAATGAGAAAACATGGTGTGTGTGTGTGTACATTTCTCCCAGCTGCATCCACTGAGTGACTGGAAGGAAGGTGGACACCAGGTACTGAATGGGTCCCGACACTGTGGAGGTGGTCCTGCATTTCCATCCAAATCTTCCAGTCCACCTGAGATAGAGGGAGCTCTCCCAGAGATTTGGACCAGGTGTGGGGTCCCAGCCCTCAAAGCTCAGCACCTTTCATACTCTAGGCAGGACACCCATATAACACTGCCCCCCCCCCCCGCTCAGAGCTGCTTCCTCTGTCCCCTGAGCAACTCAGGTTCTGTCACAGTCCTAACTCCCCAAACTAGAGCTTACCTCCCACTAGGACATAGGAAGGAAAAGAACAGAGAACAGGTGCCAAGATGAGTGGAGTAGCAGAGGGGCACAGGTCCAGCACACCCAGGTGGCAAGCAGAACTAGGGTCGCAAGGATAGAATATGGTGCCACAGTTGGGGTAAGTTTCCCTGGTAGCTTCCTGGAGCTGATGTAGATAGCCCACCCCTGTCTAGCCCCAGAAACCCAGACCTCCATGGGGTGAGAGGGGCTTTCAGCTTGCTGAATGGGCCCTAGGGCTCCACCCCTACTCAGGTACCTCATTCATTCATTCATTAGGTCCTTCAGGCCTGTGAGGGACTTGTCTGGAGGCAAGAACTGAGAGTAAGTACTGCCCAGGACCAGGCACCCACAATGGGAGCCTGATGCTCCTGCAGAATGAGAGAGCCATGGGAACCATGCTTACCACCAGGCAGCCGGTGGGGCATGCAATGGCTGGCTAGTAGTCGGGGACAGCCCAAGATCCTGGGTTCCCTGGGGTGGACATGAACTCCTTCCACTGTATCCAACCAGGGCAACTGGACCATGACAAGGCCCTGTCCATGTAAGGAAGTTCCCTCAGGTTCAGGTGCACAGGACTCTGGGATCCTTCACATCCATGCAGATTCCTGCTCCCAAGCTTCAGGAGCAGGGTCCATCAAGGCCCTCGGGGCCTGTGGGTAAGCAGAAAAACAGGCCAGCAAAGTGGACGAGGACGCACAGGAGAAATGAAGACCCAGGTAGATGTCAGTTTTTACTTACATAAAAGCGATAAAGCTAGAGGCCCACGGAGGGCAGAGGCCCACCGAGGGCAGAGGCTTCAGCATGGTGTCTGGGGAAAGGGGCACAAACACAAGGTAGGAGAGCATCAGGCGACTGGCTGGTCACAGGAGCTAGCAGGGGACGCTGCAAGACAGAGGTGTGGAGGCTGAGAGCTGGAGGGGCAGGTCCAGGCGTCTACACCCCTTCCCTGCCACCCCCACTCCTTAAACTGGGCAGGATGAGGAGCTGGAAGGCCTGCCACTCGTCCTGGCCCTATCTGCTTATTCCACCCCTGAATCCTCCATCTCAAACCTGCCAGGTCCCAGACACCACTTCTCCCCTCCCCTGACCTGAATTGCTCTGCCCTTGAGGCCCAGCCCCAGCCCTAGCCCCAACCCTGTTTCCCTACACGTGCTCAGAGGTGGGGGGGTGTCGAAAGACAAGTGCTTATGTAATGCTCTACTCAACGTCCCGCTTAGGGCAAGGCAAGGAGAGGAACCCCGGTTCAGAAAAGGCAGGAGGGAGGCCGAAAAGCAGTGCAGTGTTAGGCACACCTACCCTGGGTCCCCAGCACGGCGTCAGTCGTGGTCACTGAGGTGCGGGTGGTGGAGCGCTGGCCGTGGCCTTCTGCTCCTCTTCTTTCTCGCTCTTCGCGGAGGGCTTTCCGGGTTGCTCCGTGGCTGCCACTGTCGCTGCAGCCCCCGCCTGGGTGGGTCCCTTGTGCGCTTCCTTGGCAGCACGGTAGCTGTCCCCCCAGGCCGCAGGCATCTCGGTGCCATGCTTGCGGCTCAGGGGGTAGGCCCCAATGGCGGCCAGGATGCTGCGGTGACGCTCAGGGTCCATCTCGGTGTAATACATCTCCAGGGTCAGCGGCGTGCAGATCTTGTGCTGTAGAAGTGGGGTCAGGTCAGTGGGCCCATAGGACCAGAAAGGGAATGGGGGACCTTAATTTCCGTCTGATAAAGGCCAGGGCTTCACGACAGAACCCCAGGTGATTCTTTGTGAAGGAGAGGGGCTCCCAGCAAGAGCATGCTTGGGAGGATTGTGGGAGAGTCAGGGTGATCTCTACTATCCCCTGCCCAGGACACAGGCCTCACTCCCTTACCCGAAGCAGGAATCCATCCGGGCAAGAGAACTGGTCGTACCAGATGGCCTTGTACATGATGAGCACACAGCCCAGGAGTGCCATGGCGAAGGCAATCATCCTGGCTGTGGGCAGCTGAGGGAGGGGAAAGAGAATTCACTCATTGATGTGGGCCCCAAGTCCCCAAGTTCTGGTGCCTCTTAGAGGACAGCCCCAGGAGCAAGGGTCCAGAAACCACACCACAGGACCAAAACTTTGCTAGGCCCCTCTTCTGGGATTCTAAAAGCATCTGCTATCAGAATCTTCGATCCAGCAGGTGCTTGTAGGAATTTGTTCTGCCCAGATGACACCTGCAAAGGCTGGTGGCTAGCCTAGTGCAGGATTCCAGATACTGGAGCCATCTACTGGGCTCCTGGTGAGGTACTCATTAGTACCATCCTGGATAGATACATGGGAAGTGCAGCAGGGCTCCAGTGCCTCTCTGGTGGCATTGTCATAGAAGAATGCAAGGGCTTAATGGAAAGAGGGTAGATGCTACTTCTGAAATATGAGAAGCTTTAGGAAATAGGCCACTAAAAATTACTAAAGCCATAAGTTTGAGAGATTAAAATATACAAGATTAAAAGATGAGAGAAGATATCTTACAGGTATGCTACAGAAAATATCTTACAGGTATGCTACTAATGCCTACATTAGTTAGCCTGCAAGTCGATAAAGAACAGATAGTGACTCACTGAGGAAACAGGTATTTTCTAGGGAAAGAAAGGAAGGACAGGGTCACAGGAGCTTGGAACTCTGCCAGCAACTGGGAGGATGACTGGCAGGGCTGGCAGCTGAAGATCAGCCAATGCTGGAAGGGGGCCTTGGAATGGGATAATGCCTACCCAGCTTTCCTCTCTGAGGAGACTCAAAGGGACTCCACCTGGCCTGAGCATGTGCTTCCCCTGCACCTTCTCCTCCTGCTCTGACTCCCCACAGGGATGGGTGGGTATAGTTACCCTTCGACCTTCCTCTGGGTGGTTGCAGTTCAGCTTCTGCCCCTCCAGGTCTGAGAATTTCTTTGACTGGTCCGGGGATGACAGCTGATATTCAGTCTGTGTCTTGATGACCACCTAAAGAAAGAGATGGGTATGGTCTCTTTGAGCAGCTGACAAGGATCTAGGAGAGCCCTGAACTAAGGGGGTTGGAAGCCAGTGTGTTCAGCATGGTATGTGTGGATGCTGACTGTCTGTCAGAACTGTCTTGATGGCCAGCACAGCTCTGGTAGCTACAAGAAGAAGCCAAAAGAGGTGAGCCATATGGATCTGCCAGGAGCCCTGACACTCTGGGGCCTATGATGGAGCCTCTTTTCTGCCAACTGCCTTTTACTCTGAGGAGTTGGCTTTCCCTGCAATCAACTTCTCTCTTGGTGGCTCCGCAGCTTGGCTTCTTCTTCCAGGAAGTCTATTTCCACTTCTTTGCTGGCTCTGAGAGTCTTGTGGTCCTAATGTAGGAGGTGTATATAGAGACAGTTCTAAGCTCTGAGCTCTGTGTACTCCCAAGGGACAAAACCCAGTGGATCGCAGCCAACCCCAGTGGGTGCTTAACAGTACCCACTATTGTGCTAGAAATAGCTGAAGTCGACTCAGATCTCCAGAGCGCTGTCCTGGCCCCCAGGAGTGGCAGGCCTGGTAATGCCATGGGCACAGATCATCCCCCTCACCTCCAGCTAGGACAACTACCAGTGTCCTTTAGGCCCAGAGCTTCTGGGAGGGCAGACTGGGCTACCCTTAAGTCAGGTTCTTTGCTTCTCACTTATTTTTGCAGGAAGCCTGCCCTCCATCAGTTACTTGCCCAAATCCTCCATCTCTGCGCCATGGTTATCAGGGAAAGGGTGGAAACTCTGGTTTTCTAATCCCCTCTGGATTGTATCAGGGGGTGGGGGCTCAAATTTTCAGGTCAACTTCCCCTGTTTCATATGGGAAAGGAAGGTCTGGATACAAAGGAACTGAGCAGGAGGTTAGCCGTGCCTATGGTCCACTGGGGTTTCCGCCCAACCTGGTCTTTACTCCATGGTGCCTTGGAGGAGGAAAATGTTATATGAGCCTCACTCACACTCCTTGTTTCTAGGCAATAGGGACAAAGCCCCTCATGCTTGCCTAGGTTGCTTACTTGGTCAGGAAATGGAGGCTGCAGCTGGCTGACATCCAGGGGGCTGATCAGAGGAACGCTGTCCATGGAAGATCCATCTTGGTCGCCGGGGTCTTTGCCCGGCTTCCCGGAGAAGCTGCAGCCCAGCTTCACCATGGTGGATGGTGGCCCTCCTCCTGGTCCAGAGACAGAGACAGGGTCACTTCCCACTGGCCCTATGGACATTCATGTCAGCTGGCACCAGAGGGACAGAACTCTAGGCTGGCCCCAGTGACCATCATACTAGAGCCAGGACCAGACAGACTGTGGGCAGTCAGGCCAACCTCAGGTCAAACAGGAATAATACAGGAAAAGACTTGTATTCCTTTGCTGACCCTCTGAGCTCTGTAACAGTACAGATGGCATCACTGGCCAGATCCCAAACTGGAGAGTCTACTACCAGCCCGTCTACTCTGGAGGATGTTCCAGAGGTAGCTATTCCACTCAAAGGAAAAGATTTGGGGAGCAGTGAGACAATTTAGATTGCTAGACTTAGCAAATAAAAATGCAGAAGGTTTAGTTAAATTTAAATTTGTGTTAAATAATGAGTACTTTTAAACTATAAGCATGTCCCATGTAATATGCAAGAAAAGACATATCTATATCAAAATGTCATTTATCAACTTAGTTGGAAATTAAATATAACTGGATGTCTAGTATTTCAGTTGATATCCCTGCTGGAGATGCAGGAATTTAAGAACAGCTACTTAAAGAGGGTGTTTGCAAGCAAATCCATGCACTAATTGTAGAACCTAATCCTAATGGTAAATAAAGACCAGACATTTTGGAGAGCTGGAATCTCATGACAAGCTCTGTGTTTCAGGATGAGACCCATGGGACTCATAAGAGGGTCCCCCTAACACTGGGCAAGCCAAAGATACATGCTTTCACCCCAAGGTGACCTTTTGGAAAAAAGGAATGCAGCAGATGACCTCCAAGTTGATGATAGACAAAGTAGGCAAGTAAAATACACTCAATTATGAGAAAAAAGAAAGGCCCCATGTCTGCTAAAAAGTTGAGCCTGTGATTAAAATCTCACAAAGAACTCCAAGTCCAGAGAGTATCACTGCTGATCTTCCGGTCAGTTAAGAATGAACAATACAACCATACAAAATGTTCCCAGAGAAGAGAGTAAGGAAATTCTTGCTGACTCTGAAGGCCTATATAACCTTGACTTCAGCCTGGCAAGGACAATGAGAAGAAAAATGGCAGACATCAGAACAAAAATGCCAAATGAAATTTGAGGAAGCCAACTTGAGCAAGATATATATTAAAAAATACTAACATGAGAAGTTGGTTATATTTGATCTTGAGAATTGTTGTAATGTTTGGAAAGCAGTATCTTCACCATATTAAAAATAATGAAAAAAATCATCTGATCAGTTTCAGTTGGAGCAGAAAAGTTATCTGTTAAGATTTGATGTTCAGGTATTATTTTAAAATCCTGTTAGCACATTAAAGCCAGCAAGAAAGCTCTTTAATCTTATAACAGTTAACCTGCAAAACCCTGCAACAAAGCATATTGAATGTAAATCTTTTTTGAGATTAGGAAGCAGACAAACATGTCCTTGACCAAGTCAATTCTATGAAACTGCGTGCTGCAGGTCTCCGGCCATGCAGCTGTTCAGGGCAAAGAAATGAGACCTGAGGCCTGCACAAATTAAGTAATATGATCATTATTCATGTTTTATGTGCGGAAAATCCAAAAAACACTACAAATAAATAATAAGGATTGAAAGTGAGTCCACTGAGGTCGTTGGTTACATTTCTATATGTTAGTGGCAAAAAAAAAAAGACTTTAAAAAGATTCCAGTTAAACTGGGCATGGTGGTGCATACTTGTAATCCCTGCACTTGAGAGGCTGAAGCAGGAGTATCATTCCTAGTTCCAGACCAGCCTATGCAACATAGTGAATTCAAGACCTCCTGAACAAGACTGTCTCAACCAAATAAGCAAACAAAACAACACAAAAAAGAAAGATTCTAGTTAAATAGTATCAAAAATGGCAAGTGCTCCAGAGTAGGTATAGCCAGAGATGGGAAGCATCTCTGTATACAAAGCCATAAAATGTTTTCTACTGGAGTTACAGGGCAGTTAAATAACTGAGTCCCCTAAGCAATGGAGAAGGGTATGATCATGGGTGATTGTAGGTTTTAGAGAGCTCCATGTTTAGTAGACCTCCCAAATCTCTGTAGAATTTGTATGTCTCATACAAGATCCCAACAGGCTTTTGTTTTTAATGAACTTAGCAAGTTCATTTGTGTGGAGGGCGGAGCAAGAAACATGCAGACATCTTGATGAAAATCAAGGGAGGTTTCTGTCGAGGGTCTGTTTTGTACATAGCAGAAGAAGCCAAGTGTTGTTAAGGCAGGGCAGACAGACTATGTGATGCACTCTACACACATGGACCCTGTTTTACAACAGAGATAGCCCTGAGCACCTTGTGATAAACCAGTATCCACCTGGAAACAGTGAAGCTGATCCCTACCTCACACTGTACACAGAGAGCTACTCTAGGTGCTAATACATGGGAAAATCAAAACAACTAAGCATCTCAGAGATAACATAGTAGAAGATTTTCTTGGTCTCAGGAGACAAAGATATTTTCAACAGGAGATAAAAGCATTACTCATAAAAAGAAACACTGATAAAATACGTTAAAATTAAAAACTTGTGTTTATTGAAACATAACCTTCAATGGATGTGGTGTCACATGCCTGTAATCTTAGCAGTCTTGGAGGTTGAGGTATGAGAATTAAGAGTTCAAGACCAGCCTGGGCAATAAGTGTTTCAAAATAAAAAAATAAAAATGGGGTATGGTTATAACTCAGTGTGAAGGCTCTGGGTTTGATCTCCAGTGCCACAAAACATAATCAAAAAACCAGGTCTTTAAAGAGTAGACAAAACTGGAAGATATTTGCAACACATGTAACAAAGGGCTTGCTGTGGGTTGAATGATGTCAAACAAACACCAAAGAAACCCCAGCCAAGTCCTAACCTGTGGTACTTGTAAAAGTGACTTTACTTGTAAATAAGATGTCTATAGGTGTAACCAATTTAACATGTCATACTGGATTAGGGTGGGTCTTATCTGGTGACCGTGTCCTTATTTATAGGAAGATTTGGATGTATGGAGAATGCCTTGTGCAGAGGGATGCAGAGACTGGAGTGATGCAGCTGCCGTCCAAGGGATGCCCAGGGCCTCCAGCAGCGGGAAGGATCAGGGAGAGACCCTTCTCTGGGGGTTTTGGAGGGCAGAACAGCTCTGCTAACATCTTGACTTTTGATTTCTTGGTTCCAGAATTGTAAAAGAGTAAGTTTATTTTGTTACAATCCACCCAGCTGTCGACATTTGTGACACAGCCTTCACAAAGCCCGGTGTCCTTTAGATCCGCAGGGGTCCACTGTTTCTTATTTTGCAACGGCCAGGCCCCTCAAGCATGTCTATACCTGCAGAACAGTCAGCAGTGTCATGGTGTCCTACCCAGAGACAGAGAGACAGCATATCCTCCCAGATGCACAGGATAGTAGTGTGCAAAAGGAGCGGTGAGGGCTCGGGAGAGGAGCAGGCCATTCAGAGGAGGTAAAGAAGTAGCTCTATCGGGCTCCTAACCTCAGCCAGGCTCCCCTGGGTAGGGGGTCCCTTCCTTTGAAGCGTGTTTCCCTAAAGTAACACAGTGCCCGACCCTGTGCTTCCAGAAGAGGTCAGGCAGCGCCCCCTACACGCCGCAGCTGGGAGATTCTTCTACAGGTGGGTCAGGGAGGGCGCTGGGATGCTGGCGGGCAACCTGCGGCTAACGGAATGAAAATTCCTTGTGAGTCAGCCTTGGCCCAGATCACGCGATTCTCTGGACACAGGATGTAGAAGTCGCTACGTGGGACAGAAATGAAAAATAGCTATCGAAAATAAACATAAACTGCCTAGGGATCGCTCGGAGGCTATTGGGCAGGCAAGGGTAGATGAGGGTCGAATGACCATGGGAGATGGTGCAATGGTAGGGGGTGGCATGGAGGAGCGGTGTCTGGGGCCTTCACACAGCACTCCCGAGGCACCCATCTGGTTTACAGTGGGGCTCAGCTCTTAAGCCATCCAGGACTCCCATTCAGGCCGTGAAGAGGTCTTTGCTCTGATCCCTACTTCAGGTACTCTGGGAGCCAAGAGAGCAAGTGCTCGCCTGATGTTCGTTGAAAGAGGGCCATTTTAGGTCATCGCGGGTTCCCTTGGCAACAGAGGCCGGACCTCAAGCCAGGGCTTAGAGGTGGAAACTGGTGAAGAAGGACTCTAGATCTCCTTCATCTGCTTCCACCTTCCGGTGCTGGGAAGGATCTGTGCGCAATCGCAATCGCTCGCCCTCCCCTGCTCACATCAGAACGTTTCTTTCAGTCAGTGTCACAGGACCCGATGGGAAGGCAGGCTGGACTCCTTCACGCAGCTCTGTAAAATTGGGAATGGGGCGTCCCAACCCCTTCTAATTGGCCCTCTCCCTCCGCCCTGTTCTCTAATCTGGTCTCCTGCGCAGTCTGCTCAGCACCCTCCCCCCCGCCCCGCCCGCGTGCACTGCTGTTGCTGCATCTGTGCGTCTCAGGATGCACAGTAGGCTGATAGACAGATGGGTGGGGGTGGGGACCCTTGGTTGAAAGCCTACGGAAGCGGGGCTAGAGGTCACGTCATAGACTCGCTTTCATGCGCATCACCCACCACCCTGTGATGCTGCGTCACGCGGGGAAGCGAGCACCGCAGGGCGCCGGCTGGTGCAGGCCAGGCGGGAGTGAGTGTCGCAACAGCGGAGGGCCTGCGCCCGCCCCCGCACTTTCCCTGCAAACCACCCCTCCCCTTCTTGGGCTCTCACCCCTTGCCTTACAGCTGGTGGTCATTTGATTCCGGGTGCAAAGTCTGGTGAGTTGCGCGGCCTGAGCAAACCGGGATCAGGCACAGGTGCTGGTGGCTTCCCACATACCAGCCACCTGTGGCCTCGCATCCACACTTTGGCAGGTGGTTCTGGAAGCATACCGCCTCCTACTTCCTATCTCCTGCCTGCCACAAGGCCAAGTCCCTACCCCGTGCAGGTAGCGGAGCTTCAGTGCTCTGGTCCAACGCTAGTTCTGTTGCTTCCCCTTCTCCTCATTCCTCTACCCTTCTCCCCCCTTCTCCACACCCCCTTCTCCACACGTAGGTACTGACCAAGAGTTGGACCTGGCGCCCCCTGCCCACCTTGGGGGCGCACAGCTCCCACTGGCTGTCTCAGCCCTGCAGGGGTGGAGCCAGTTCACAGGGAGAGGGTTGAGGTCACTGTGGGCCAGGTGGGTTGATGTCTGGCAGTTTTACCCACTTCCACTGACCGGCATTGCCCAGGACAAGGCACAGGGCACCATACCTGGCTTTTCCTGAACGTCCAGGCTGCGATTGGCCCACAGGGCCTCCAGGCACCCCATGAGGGAACCACCTCCATTCCTCCCCCAGTGTCCAGCTTACTCCCGCCCCCACCCCAGTCCTGAGAGGACCATCCCCCCACCTCCAGTCAGCAAAGCCAGCCAGGCCCTGGGCAGAGACCCCAAGGGAAGAGGGAGGCTGTGCCTGGCTTCCCTGGCGGCAACCAAATCCCCAGAAGTGTTCTTGCATACATTAGCACCCTCCGCACTCTACACAGGCACTCGCACGCACACCGCACATCGAACTGCTCACATCCCTTCTTGCACACTCCTCCTGCACACACTCGGGCCCTTTCGCCCCCACTCCACAAGGAGAAATGTGGAAATGGCTCACTGGCGGTTCCAACGGCAGCTGCTGCAGGACTCGGTTGCGGGAGGACGGATGCGGATGTGTATGCGGAGGATGCAGTTCCAGACGCTTCGCAGCCGGGGCGGGGCGGGCGAGGGGCTGGAGCGGCGAGACCGAGGCTGTAGTTGCCATGGAGACTCCTGCTGGAGGTGGAACCACAGCAGTCAGGCCACCCTCCCACATCAGACCTGTCCCTGCCCCCCCCACATGCATCTGACACTCACACTCACACACCTCACACTCACATGCCAGATACACCTCACACATATCTCATGTGCCTTACGTACTTCACATACACCTTATACGCACTTGTCACATATCACACTCAAACTTCATACACTGACTCACCTCAGACACTCACACTTCTCCCACACATTCGCACCGCCTCGCCACACAGAGCAGACCCTAGCTGAGCATTTGCTGCTCCACCTGGGAATCCTGGGTCTCCAGCAGACTTGGTGGAGTGCTGAGACTGCCCCTCCCCAGCCCCTGGCTTGACACTCATTTGGGACAGCAGGAGTCAGGCACAACTAGATTTGGCCCTCACTCACCCAGAGAATGGTCTCCTTGCATCAGCATCTGAACCCCTGAGCTGTGTGAGCTTCCCTGGGCTTCCCTTATCTTTCCAAGTCACTCTGGTAACTGATATCTGCAGAATGCAGACAGCATCCAGCAGGAGTTTGGTGGACTGTGTGTCCTACTCCAAATGATGTGCCAGTGGCAGATGTGACCCTTGGGTCTCAGGTTCCTAGTTGTTGATGGATCAGCACATACCTGTTGCATGTATGTATCATGTTGCATCCATCAGTGGGCACCTGGATTGTTCCCTGTCATGTACCAGTTACGATGATTAGCGTTCCTTTCAATTCTTTGATACATATGTACTTTCATTTCTCTTGGGTAGATGCCAAAGAAGGGAACTGCTAACTCACATGGTACATTGATGTTTAGATTTGTACGAAAATGTCACAGTGTTTTTTTTTTTTTTTACAGTGGTTGTGGCATTCTACATTCTTGCCTGTCGTGTATGAGGGATTTAGTTTCTCCACATTCTCATCAACATTTGTTATCACCTCTTTTACTATAGTCATCCACATTAGCCTGCTTGGATTGGGCTGCCATAACCAAATTACCACAGATGGGTGGCTTAAATATAAATTTATTTTATCCCTGTTCTGAAGGCCAAAGTCCCAGATACAGGTGTCAGCAGGTTTGGTTTTTTCTTCCTCCTTAATTTGTAGACAGCATGTCTTCCTTGTGTCTTGATAAAGTATTCTTTCTATGTGTCTATGTCCTAGTGTACTCTTCTAAGGACAGCAGTCCTATTTGATTAGGCCCTCATTTTAATTCAATTGCCCTTTTTAAAGCCCTGTCACTTGCTGGGCATGGTGGCACATGCCTGCAAACCCAGTACTTAAAAGGCTGAGGCAGGAGAATCACTGAGTTTGAGGCCAGCCTGGGCTACATAATGAGTTCAAAACCAGTTTGGAATACATACCAAGACCCTGTCTCTAGATAAATAAACAAATAAATAAATAGCATGTCTCCAAATAAAGACACATTTCTAGGGTTAGAATTTCAAATTCTAATTACAGGACTTTAGGGGAGACAATTTGGCCCATGTAACCACCCAAGAAGGTGTGTAGTGGAGCTTTATAGTGGTTGACATCTGTATTACTCTAACAAGTAAAGATGTGGAGCACTTTGCCATGGGTATCCCTTGGTATACAGTATTTTCACTGGTGAATTGGTTCAGATGTTCTGAAAACTTTTCAAGCAGGTGGTCTTCTTAAATTGCAAGAATTATTAATATATCCTATACCCAGGTTTTTTTGTTTTAAAATAACTGGTGGACAAAGATTATATACATTAAAGGTGTATGTGAGACTTTGATATAAGTACCTATTGTGTAATGATCACCACAATCTAATTAACTGACATACCTTTTACCACCCATGTTGCACAATTGATCCCCAGAATTTGTGCATCTTATCACTTGCAGTTTGTACCCTGGGGCAGCAGTCCATCTCTTCACTCTACGGCCCTGCTCAACAGTTACCTTTACACTTTCTACTTCTGAATTCCATGTTTTTAGATTTTGCAAATAAGTGAGTTCATACAGCATTTATCTCCTGTGTCTGAGTTACAGTATTTTACTTAGCATCATGTCCTCAAGACTTATCCATTCATCCACTGAACCTCCTGACCTGTGCTGAATGAATAGTGAAAGTGGGCTTCCTTGTTCTGTCCCAATATGAGGAAGGAGCTGTTGGTCTCCTCCTCTAACTACGGTTCTCATAGAATTCTTTTTTTTTTTTTTTTTTTATCAGTACCAGGGATTGAACTCACAACTGTGTGCTTGCAAGGCAGGCACTTATGCCGCTGAGCTAAATCCCCAGCCCTGTCATAGAATTCTTGAAGATGCCTTTTTACCGGGTTTAGGAAGTTCCCTTTTATTTTTATCCCTCATTCGTTATGGTGCTGGGATTGAACTCAGGGCCTATCCCTAATTTGTGAAAAGGATTTTTTTTAACCATAAATGGGTATTGAATTTTGTCGGATGACTTTTTGTGTGTCTGTTACAATAATGAGCTTGGCTGCCCTTCATTCACAGCATAGCAGCACAATTAATTGGTAATTAGTTATTTATTAGTTTTTTGAGACTGTGTAGTTAGGCTGGCCACGAAAGCACTGATGTTACCCAGGCTGGCCTCAAACTTGCAGTGATTCCCCTGCCCTCAGCCTCTCAAGTGCTGTGATGATAGGCATGAGCCACCATACCCCACAATTATTAAAATATTAGAACAAATTTGTCTGCGTTCAGGAGGAATACTGGTCTGTAAAGCTTTATCTAGTTTTGGTATCCAGGCAGGCCTGGTTTCATGGAGTGTCTTTGTTTCCTCTGTGGATGATGTGAAGGGCTGCTTCACATGTTGTCTGCTGGCACCGCTGTTTCTAATAAGTTAGTCATTAACTGATGTTATATGGTTGTATCATTTCTCTCTTGCCCTTTTAAAAATTTTCTCTTCTCTTTGGATTTCAACAGTTTGGATTCTCATTGGTTCTTTGTTTTGTTTTGTTTTTAGGAGACAGGGTCCTCCTACATTGCCCAGGCTAGCCTTGAACTCTTGGGCTCAAAGGATCTTTCTGCTTCAGCCTCCCAAGTAGCTTGGATGTCAGATACATAACACCGACTTAGTTCTTTTAATTAATTATTTATTGGGGTCACTTAACTCATTTCATCACACTCTTTTTTTTGTAATCTTATTTTTAGTGGGTTTTTTGTTTGTTTGTTTGTTTGTTTGTATTTTTGATACAGGGGTCTCACTATGCAGTTCAGGCTTCAAACTAACTTATGTAGCCTAGGCTGGTCTCAGATTCCCAGTGATCCCCCTGCCCCAGCTTTCTGAGTGCTCAGATTACAGGTGTGCACCACCATGCCTCACTCTCCTTTAAATGTAGTTTCCATTAACTTTGTTTTTGTCTGCTACATCTAACATCTGAGTCCACTCCGAAGTAGTTTCTATTATGTGCTCCTTTCCCTGAATGTTTCTGATTTTTCCTAGAATGCTTTTCCTGATTTTTTGACTGTCTTGCACTTTGAGATTGAAGACATGTCATAATTGGCTCATCAATTACAGCAAATGCATCACTAGTGCAAGATGTGACAAGGGGGAAACTGGGTGAGAGGTAAAGGGCTCATGGGAATTTTGTGCCTTCTGCTCAATTTTACACTTAAACTTGCTCAAAAGCACAATCTGCTAATTTTAAAAATACTAAATGTTTTTGATATATACTGCAGCCATTTTGAATCCTGATCTTTCACTCTGAGAAGGGTTTTCGCTTTTGCTTGTTGGTTTATTAATTTTCCTGAATCACGTCCGTGGGCTGCTTCCCTCCTGTCACGTGGCACTGCTGTCTTTCTCCTAGTGCAGTACAATTTATTTGTTTTTGTTCAGCCCAGCTCCCAGGATCCTTTGTGTCTGCTTTGGGCAGAGGCATACTTATCTCAGTCTGTGGGCTCTGTTTGGGGCTGGTCCTATGAACAGGCTGGTGTGTGACTCTGGGCACATTGGTTTTTAGATGGTATTAACACCTTCCTTTCAGGACTTCTATGCTTTCTCTTCAGGGGTCCACAGGCTTGCTATGGCCAGAGGGATGGGGAGCACAGGCTGGGAATGAGGGAAAGGGTGGGGAGAGAAGAGGAGGGAGTGCAGTGAACAGGGAGGGACAGGAAGAGCTGGAATAAAAGGGGTGGGTGGAGAGAAGGGATGAGAATGAGGAGCTGAGAGAGGGGCAGGAGGAGGTTGGAGAAGGCAAGAGGAAGAATGGAGGAGAGTGGGGAGGGATGGGGAGAATGAGGTCATCTGAGAAAGGGGCATAGGGGACTGCATGGTAGAAAACGTGGTAGTGGAGGTCAAGAAAGCATGGTGGGGCTAGGGAGGACAGGGGGTGCCAGGCAAGGTTGGAATTATGAGTAGAGTTTGTGTCTCTCTGTCAGCTCAGATGTGTGGGGTGCACCAAGGCCTCCGTGGTTTCACAAATCCTGGTCTCCCCAAAGCTCTTGTTGGCTTGCTATCATTGCTATCTGTTGTCCCAGCTTCCAGAGCCACTGATATATGCTGCTCCCCCCATGTGGGCACTGTGCCCACCCATCTGGATCTGCAGGTTGGGTGCAAGTGATACAGGCACACTTCCTTCCATTCTAGTATAATCACTTGGAACAATCACTTTCAATTGCTCCTATGCCATGGATCAAGGTCCACAGCCTGGAATTATCTTTCATGATCTTTACCCCATCCTGTTGGAATCCCATTTCAGTCAGAGGAGCCTGGCAGGGTAGTGCCTCAGCCCCCATGGCAGCAGCTGCCCAAGGGCTGGTCCTCTTGAGGGGCTACAGAAGGCCACTGGAGAGCAGAGTGAGATGGCTCCTCAGGCTTCACAATTCCAGTCAACCACAGTGTGTAAGGTGGCATCAGTCCAGTCTGGGGTTGGTGGCTTCTGCCAATGTCCCATCTCCAAGATCTTGCTCATGTGGGATTCTTCAGCTGGTGTGGCCTGAGGGGAGGACAGGAGTAGGTGTGAGAGTGGGTGATTCTGTTGGGAGATAAGGGTCTCATGGTCGTGTGTGTGTGTGTGTGTGTGTGTGTGTGTGTGTGTGTGTGTAAAATTCAATGCTGAAGTGCTCAGTGAGTGAATGGGTCTTGTTGAGACAGGCAGGTAGAGTGGATGGCCAGTAACCTCTTCAGATGGGGCAGTAGGTACCTCAGGGGCAGCTCAGGTGTCTGGGCCCAGGACCCAGACTGGAGTAGGGCTGAGAAGCCATGAGCCCAGCCACTAGAGCTGCAGGATTGTTGACTACTGACCTCTGAACAGACACACCCATGTGGGGGCAATAAAACCATAAGCAGACGGATGGGGAGGAACTGGGCCAGGCACATAACCCCTGGATCTTCGACTACAGCACTCCAGAGCACCTGGATACTGAGAAGGGGACCCAACCATGAGAAGGTGATATCAGAGACCCTGAACCCCTAACCACCAAAATGTGGCAGCTTGCCACTGGCCAGGGTGTGATCAGGAGCACCTTGGCTGCAGGTACAGGAGCCCTGGCTCAGAGACTGTCTCTGGAGGCTCACGACCCCAGGCCTGGTTCTCGGGAAAGTCTGGGAGGGAGGGCCCTCTGTTTACAGACTACTGTGTCAGACCATGTTTAGCGGCGGGCCCTGGAACACTCTTCCAGGTGGACAGGGATGGGTGCAACCTTCCTCACTTCTCTGAGGTTCTCTAACACTTTTCTGTCTGCATTCTATGTGTGAGCTCCAGTGGCCCTCAGGTATGCACTAGAGTGCCTTACTGTGGGACCCCCTGGGAGAAGCAGGAGATACCAAGCTGTGATGGTCAAAGATTCAGAGTGAGAATCAAAAATAAGTGGTACGTGGGAGCCAGCAAGGGTTGAGGTGTCCTAAGGGAAGGTACTATGAACCTCTGCGACTCAGCCAACTCCCATGTAATATAAGCACCTATGCAAAGTCCATTTACATGTGTCTGTGTGGCCTCTCGAGTCCTCAGCATTGCCACTGGCTGCTTCAGGGGGTCTCCTCAGGTTGTAGGGTGCAGTAAATGGGGAGTGAAGTGGTCCCAGGCTGACACATGGGAGCAGGCTGGTGGCTGAATGTCTCATCTGTCTGTTTTTCTATGAAATGAAGTCTTTTTCTATGAAATGAAGCATTATAAACTGACTAGAGCCCCTCCAGCTGCTCATCCAGGTCCTGTCAGGATAGAGTTGAGAGGGGTGCTCATGGGCAGGGCAGCCCCTTTCCAGACTCACACCCCTTCCTTGGTCTCCCAGGCTTTTCCTGATTACCTGTCTGGTGGCTGCGCTGCTGCAGGAAGCTGGTGCAATCCCAGCACCCCAGGTATGTAGGTCCCTCTGTCTGGCCCCCACCCATGGCTGTCACTCTATGCTCCAGCCAGCAGGGAATACTGAGAAGTAGTCTCAGTGCCCATCACCAGCTACCTCAAGCTGCCTAGGAGAGTGGAGGCAGAGCACAGACATGATTGGGAATGCAAAGTGGCTGGTTGCTGAGGTATGGCCTTAAGATGGGGTCTTTCCACTAGGGTCTCCAAGGCCTCATGACATCCTATTTTACCCAGGTGGGATGCATGGGCATTGATGGCACCTAGGAAGACCCCGTGTGGGCAGGGAATTCAGATGTGCTGGTTAATGGCAGCCTGGGCTGGGACTGTGCATGGTTCCTGCCCTGGGTGAAAGCTGCTAAGCCTGCACAGCTGAGAGCAAACAAGAAGAGGGAGATCCCATCACAGCCTCTTTACAGTGCCTGGAGCTGGAGACTCCTCAGGGAGCCCAGTTTGCTGTGCTCTTCTCACTTTACTTTGGCCCACAGGGTGCTGGACTCACAAGGACTGACCCTGTCTCTAGATTACCAGCCAGGGAGGTGGGGTGCAGGGATTGCCTTTACACAAAGCAGGCAGTACTCAGAGGACTGGGGGTAGTGTAGGGGCTTGGATCCAGAAAGCAATGTTCTAATGCCTGTCTGAATAAGCTGGCCTTCCCCAGGACTGGTAAGGAATCAAAGTGGGTAGGTCATTTGGGGATAGATTAATGGCACAACTCTCCTTGCCTGCAATCTTCATTATCCCTGGAGGTCACCTTCAGGCTAGACTCTCCCTGTAGTCTCACTTGGGCCTTGCAGCAGGTATCGTTTGACCGTGGACCTATGATTGGCAAAGGCCACACCTGTGACTCACTCTTCCAGGTGCCTAACAAGACCAAAGGCAAGCATTGGATCTCTGAGCAGGACACAGAGAAGTAAGTGCCCCAGGTGCTCCCTTAACGTTCTCCCTCAAAACTTGGCCTATTCTTTACGGTCCCTTCTTGGATGTAGGTACACTGGGTAGACAAAGAATAATACTGTCCCGCTGCTTCAAGGAGAAGGCCATGCTTGGGCCTCACAGTGATCCATTAGCAGCAAGTTCCAGGCTCAGAAGATAGATGCATGGGGGTTCTGGGCCACGTTCCCTATCAGCTCCTCTGCAATGCCTGGAAAGACTCAGTGTTAGACCAGGATGGTTTCTGACCACCCTCATTCTGGTGTTTTGTTTTGTTTTTGAGACAAGGTCTTGTTGTATAATTCACAGTGGCTTTGAATTCACAATGTAGCCCAGCTGGCCTTGAACTCACAGTGATCCTCCAGCCTCAACCTCTTGAGTACTGGAATTATAGGCATGCAGCACTATGCCTAGCCATCCTTCACTCTGGGAGGCTCTGATCTTTCCACCTCCCACCTTTAGTGGCTCAAGGGTTCAGCAGGGAGGTCTAAGTAGCTGCTTATCTAAAGCTCCTGGGCCAGTTGATAGGCAGTGGGCTGAAGTGACTTCACAAGGCCCGGGGGGGTGGTGACTACCTCTCTGCACCTGCTCTGAACCTGACCTAGGTATGTGGGAAGGACCTGGGGCAATCACACCTTTCAGCATCTGGAGAAGGATGACCAGCTGGTGGATCTGCTCCATGTGCCAAAGTCAAAGCCTGCATTCATCAAGAAGCCAGGTCAGGGTAGGATCAAGGCCACAGCAGGAGGAGTCTGTCCCATTGGGTTCAGTTGGAGGATGATCCAGTTTGAACTGGGTGAAAGGGAGAGTCTCATAAGGGAAACTGAGGCTATGGTTCCATCTGCCTTCTCAGGCAACAGTGCCAGGGTGGAGACTGAGGACATGCTGAGTCGTTTTCGGAGACCCCAGCAGGGTCCTGAGCCTGACCTTGACAGTCTGTATCATCCTGCATCTGAGGAGATTCAGGTCAAGGAAGAGCCCCTTTTGAGGGCAATGCTGTCTCGCCAGGTGCTTCGGGGGCCGGAGAAGGATCTAGACCACATCTACCACCCTACGGGGGAGTCCTAGGGGGCCTGAACACCCTCACACCCCTCCCCTGAGTTCCAGGCTGTTGGGACTACCAACCCTTTCCAGCTAGAAAAATAAACAGCTGCAAGCAGAAAGGAAAGCCATCTAGTTCTTTAAGACCAAAAACCCTGGAGCCCAACCTGCTGTCTAGGAGGAGGGAGCTGTCATCTGCCCCATATGTGGCACACAAGGCCCAGCTGACCCTCAACTCCTCAACATTTGGCTCCCACAGGGCCATCTCTTTCCACATAGAGATGAGTAAAGGATGTGGCAGCAGTCAGAGGCAGACACCAAAGGCAGCACCAAGATCAGCTTCAGCAGAGAAATGGAACTTGCCCTGGGTTCTTTGGGGGAAGGAGAGAAGGAACCTGGGAAAAAAGAGGACTAGGGAGGAGGGAGCCTAAGATAATTGGCATTCAAGTGGATAGGTGTTCTGGTGGACAGGCACGTAGGCATATAGGTGTGTATCTATACATGCTTAGATGGACAGGAACAGGCACACAGGCTCTAATGAGGGGGCCAGACAGAGGCCCAGTACACAAACACTTTATCCTGATTTTGTGGGCAGTCATCCAGCAGTCTGGGATATGGTCCTCCTACATGGCCTCCCTCAGCAGACCCAGTGCCTGAACACAGGCACAGGCCACCTGATTTATCTAACACACTATGTACCTAGAGGGGTACCTGGCAACCATGCCCAGCAATGAGGTAGAAGTACCCAGGGCCAAACTCTCTGGCTTGAATCACACAAGTTCACCAGCTCCCATGGCCAAGACAGCACCTGAGAGAGGCTGCTGATGCTTGATCCTGATGGCATGCAGCTGCTGTGTGTTTATCCAGGTGACCCTGCATCCCTACAACTCACTGTGTCCCCCAGGATATCCCTACTCTCCCAAGGACACAAATGGCTCATGTACAGGTACCCCTACCTCCAAACCCTACAAAGCAGGAGCCAGGTTCACACCTTATTGATGAGTCCATCTCCCATTATGGATGAGCTCACCAAGGCCAGAACAGTGACCTTCAAGTTCCTCCCCTGATAAGGGCAGAGCAGGTCCAGCTTCACTTCAGTGTGCCTCGCTTGTCATCCCGATAAGAACTGGAGCAGGGGGTGGGCAGCTCACAATCAAGAGCAGAGGACCGTGATCAGAGGCTACAGAATCCTGTCCAGGTGGCAGGAGGCCCTGAGTTCCTAGGGCACATAAAGCTCAAAGCTCTCCCTTCCCAAGTCACATTATAATTGGTCAGAAATGGCCAGGTGGCCACTACCAAAGCAGCTCACACAGAGGTAGTCAGCAACTAGCGTTCACTGCCCCTGAGAAAATTAGAACTAGGCTGGAGATTTAGGCTGCCCATGTTAACCCACCCTCCCTAGGTTCCAGGCAGCCAGAAGACTTGTAGATTTGAGGCTTTGAGTCTGGCATCTGCTAGGTTCAAAGATGGGCATTGGCCAAGGTAGAGTTTGTAGCACACCTCTCTAAACTTGTCTAAGCCAGTCCTATGAGCATTTCATCCACCTCCTGAAGAGCGGAATGTGTCCAGGAGAGTCATTGGGAACCTTGGACTCAGGAGACTGCTACCACATGCTCACAACTGTCCACTGAGACAGGGAAATGCACAAACTAACTCAGCCTTGCAACCCGAGACCTGGAGACAACAGCTCAAGCGGAAGTCTCTCAATCAAAAACAGGCCTGGCTTCTCTTCATGCCCCTCATGGAAGTAGGGAGGGTTCTGCAGGCAATGGCCTTCAAATTTCCTCCTTGCTTAAATTTTCATTGCAGTCTCTCATGCGCACATGCCTCTCATATCGGTTGGGTAACCAGCCATTTGGGCAGTGGTGACTGAATGCATCACTTTACTTTCTGGCTGTTGCTAGGCAACAGTGCCTAGCAACTGGTGTACAGGAGCCATGACAAGGGAACAGACAGGATGGTCACCAAGGTCTCTGGCCAGGCTTAGGCATGGTCCCTTCCCCACACTTGGCCCCCAATCTCTGCCCAGTAGGCTTTCCTGCCCCACTACTTCTTCTAATCCTGGAGTGCAGGCCTGAGTGCCTGTGATCTACCCCCCTAGGCCCTAAAAGGATCCCCAGAAAAACCAGCTCCCACTGTCTATCTTCCCCATCTTCTTCCTGCATCCATATGGCTGAAGGAGGTGGTGGATGGAGGGAGAGGGCCTAGGGCAGTAATGGCGAATCTCTTAGAGACCAGGTGCCCAAACTGCAATCTCAAACCCACTTTCAAAGTCTCAACACTGCAATTAATTAAACCTGAATACAGAGCTTTTAGTTAGGAAAAAACAACTATGTCCAATGCTTGGCTGCTGGAATGACTTGGCTATCATGCCAACAGAGAGGGCTCTGTGTGTCCGCTCTGGCATGCATGCCATAGATTTGCCACAAGTAGCCTAGGGGGAGGACCACTCTTCTGGACAATGCAAGGGTAAATCATCACTAACCCTCTATGAACCAACCCCCTTCAGGCCACCACTGTATCTTGCTGCCTCTCTCTCAGCACTGACTGCTACATGATTGCATGTCCTTTACTTCCCAGGACAACCATGGTTTCACATAGAAAGCAGGCAGGTTCCATCTGGTTTTATCTCCAGGCACAAAGCAGGTAGCTGCTTGGGCATATGGAGTGGGTGTGCCACTTACTGAACATAGGCCCAGCCCATACCCTGGCCTCTCTAGGCCTATACCAGAGTTCCTGACACCATCCTCCCTGGCACCAGATGTATGCTCCTCCATTCCTGCAATTTTTCCAGCTCTCACTGGTATTCTCCTACTTGAGGTAGAGGGAGTAGCCCTGATCAGGCATCACCTTGTGTCTGATTCTGAAAGTGCACATTCTCCTTGAGCTGCCAGGCAGCCACTGTGCCCCACTCTGGCTTCCTTGCTGTGCATTCTGCTCAGCCCCAGGCCTCATTTCCCACAAGGATTTCCCACCTGAACATTTCCCACTTGAACATTTCCCACCTGGGGTGAGTGGTGGTCATTCTCTGAGGAGCCAGTAGCCTCCCTGACAAACCTGGCCAAACAAACCTGGAAGGGAGAACAGACTCTAGATTGAAGATTTATTGTTTTTTATTGTGTTTTTTCATCATTTGAAAAATCAGGGGATCACAGTCTCAGTTGGCAAGGTCCCTCAAAACCCACTTGCCCCTTGAGACCTGCATGAGGCCCAGGTCTTGGTGCTGGGTAGGCCTGTGGCACTGTCCATTCCTTTCCCCTCAGAGTAGTCTGCACCAGGGCTCGAACTGGGAGCCAAGGGCAATTGTCCCCTTTCTGAGGATGATGCTTCCATAGAGTTCTGGCTCCCTGAAGAAGAAGCAGAGCAGAGGGCCATGGTGATCTCTTGGGAACACAACAGATTCCACTTGCTTCCATCCCACCTGCAAGACAGAGATCTAGAGAACAGCTACCTTGGGCAAAGCAAACAGGGACCCTGTCTGCTCAGATTCCTTCTCCTCACTGAGCCTCAAGGAGACAGAAACTTGGGCAGAGAGAGTGAGAAAGAGGCCTTTCCAAAGGTTTGAAATGGGAGCATGCCTGAGCCAGCAGACTGGCACTCACCCGGTTGCAACAACAGCAAAAGCCTTTTTGGCTCGTTCATAAAACTGAAATCTCTCTATCTTTGCCAGGGTGCTCTAGAAGACAAAATGGAATGGTTGGAAGGACTCTGCCCAGAGACTTTCCTAGGCCAGCTCTGAGTCACTGAGGATGCAAAGGCACCAGGCTCTCTGGGCTCCACTCCTCTGGTTCTCTTAGTGTGGGGCTCCTGAGGGCCATCAGCCTATAACTCCAAGGACTGCGCAGTGCAGACTGGAGTCTCTCAAATCCCATCTGCAGTCTGTGCTGGACAGGGTGCTATGCTTGGTGTCTCCTGGCCTGGAACTACTTAGCCAACTTGCCAAATGCCCAGTTCTTCTGCCCCGTCATGCCAACTTGAGAAGTTTAAAGTTTGACTAAGAGACTCAGCAGGCAGTCAGTGTTCTTTGTAAATATCTTCAGTCTGTGCAAAGAGGAGGGCACAGAAGTGGTGTGAGTACTACAAGCGCCCTAGTGGGGGGTAGCCTACTTATGATAGAAGGGAAAAGAGGCTTGTTCCCCTCCTTTTGTTCTGGCTGCTTTTCCTGACTGCTACCTTGAAGTATTACCCTCATGCTATGTGAATTTGCCTAGGAACCATATGATTATGGATCGAAACCTCCACAAACAGCTAAACAAATCTTTCTTCCTTCATTTTGGATGTCGGGTATTTTGTCCCAGCAACAAGAGAAACGTAACCAAGACATCCTCCAAACTGGCCCAATGGGTTCCCTGGCCAGAATGGGGGTTCCTGATCTGTTCCCTTCAGGTAGGTCCTCCCCAAGACTTAAGAATGAGTGAAGGAGTTCCCCAGGAGAATTAACAAATTTCCTACCAGACAAGAGTGAGAGCTGTATGACACCCAGACCATAGCCAGGATGGAGTGGGAGAGAGGAAGACCTGGAACCCAAGGGAGGTCAGAAGAGGTGGCCAGGCAGCCCTTGCCACTTGGCTCCATGGGGACAGACCGACCCTTAGGCAGACAGGCCAAGATCCTAGGAGGTAAGTGGGGAGCTTAGAGGTTTAGGGGAATCAGCCATATAGCCTAGGAATATCTCTTCTCTCTCTGCTAATGAGGACGGCTGGTGATCCTGGGTGCTCACATAGCTAGGGGTGAAGGTCATCTGAGGACAGCTTGGGACACTCCTCATATTTCACACTTCCTGAGCCTCTAGAAGACAGTGTTCGCCCCTCCTATAGTCAGGGCTGCAGGCTCACCGTGTAGCCAGCCTGGAGCAGGAGGAACTCATAGTCTTCCCACACTGTAGTCCGCAGGCCCCTTTCCTGGTCGCTAGGCACCAGCTTCATGACTACAGCCTAGGGTACAGGAGTGAGTTTTACAGCCCTGAGCACCTCCAGCACTCCCCTGGCTAGGGTCCTCCAGTAGGGTCATGTGCCCCCCCACCACACCCCTGCCCAAGACAGATGGCCTGATGAAGTCTGGCAAAGGGCAACTGAGACACAGAGCAGCAGAGTGGCCCTCACCGGACTGTCCAAGGGTAGCAGCTTCAACAGAGCTTCCAGGAGCTTCGGGATGCCCAGGCCTGGTGGAGGAACAGGGCTGGGCTCAGACTCCTTCACCCCCGCAAAAAAACCCCAACTTTCACTCTTTGGCCTCAGTGAGAATGATTTGGGCCCCAAGACCACTGACTGTGCCCACCCACAACTCCAACCACCTGCCCCCTGACCTCCATCCCCTACTGTCCACTCTCCTCACCATCTGCCCGGATCTCCACAGGCCCACAATGACAGACAGAGGAGGTGGGGAAGTTAGCATCTGCAAGAACTGAAGAGGCAGTCAGAAGGCCCTGCTGTGACCAGGAAGTTGCATACCCCACCCAGGGCTCAATCAGTCCACCCTCCCTCCAGGATCAGTGGTTCTAGGCCATGGGCCACCTCCACAGCTTTCTTGAGCTTTGGCCAGTGGAAGAGGTAGGTGGGGAGGGTGACACCCCTACCTGAAAGGAAGGACAAAATCAGTGTCCCAGCTTCAAGGGCCCAGCCCCTACTCTAGGTCACTGACACTAGGGGTGGCCCTTGAGGGAGAGAGTAGGTCTGGGACTGGAAAAGGAATTCTGATCCATTTGCCCAGGACACCCAGGCTGGTATAGCTCCACCTGGGCCAAGGGCAGCTGCGACCTCATGACTGGAACTGCCCAGTTCCTAGTTTCCAGTTCCCAGTTCCCAGTGCCCAGTTCCCTAGGCAAGCAGGGTTGGGACTTCCTGCTCAAAAGGGCGGGGTGGCCGCAACAGTGCCCTAACCTCTTTCTGAGAACAATGCCTGGTGTCTCCCAGCCTGCACCCCTGGCTCGCTTACCGATCTCATCTCCGTGCCCCATGCGCGCCAATGCATACAGCAACTCAGGAGACAGTAGCGCTGGGACTCCTTTCAGAACAACCATGTCAGCAGTGTGAGCAGGGCGGCTGGGAACACCGCCAAGGCTAGGGTGGGTGGGACAAACGGGAGGGCGTGGCCACTGCTCAGTCAAATTATGGAGGAAGATGACCAGAGCATGAAAACAGTTAGATGGATACATTTTTCTCAGTTTTAAAGTTTCCTCTCTTGGATACTGAGACCTTGGGTGCCTTCCTTTGTTTATTCCAGTTAATTCTAAGAGTTTGACACCAGCCTGATCAACACAGTAAGATCCTGTCTTAAGTAAATAAGTGCCCATCACCACAGGAATAAATATGACACACCCACAGCATGTCATGGCTATTGAATGCAAGTAGGAAGATTACTCAGCAGTCAAAAGAAGTGAAATTTAACACACATGCTATGACATGGATGGACCCAGAGGACATTGTGTGTGTTGTAGCTTGTGCTGTGGCTATCCCATGCATCAGGTGGCTTATACACATGTATTTCTCAGTTCTTTAGTCTGGAAGTCCAAATCAAGGCAGATTCATGGCCTGCTGAGGAACCACTTCCTAGTTCATACACGATACCTTCCTGCAGCTATACGCTGGGAAAGGGAATGAAAGATATATGTGCACTAACCCCATTGTGAGGGTCCAACTCCTAACACCATCACCTAGAGGGTTAGGATTTCAACGCAGGGACAGGACGGGGCACAGACATTTATTCCATCATACTATCTAAGTGAAATAACCCAGACACAAAAGGAAAAATAAATGCTGTGATTCCATTCATCAAAGGTGTCCAGAAGAGTCATGTTAGTAGAAACAGACAGAATGGTGGGAGCCAGGGAATGCAAGTCAGTTTCTAATGAGGACAGTTTCAGTTTAGAAAGATGAAGATGGGGCAGTGATGGTGCACACAAGAACTATGATTAGACATTAGATGGTGAAGACAGTAGTGTCTATGTCATGTTATTCAGTCACAACTAAGAAGCTAGTAAAGAATAAAAAGTATGAGGTGTGGCAGCACATGCCTGTAATCCCAGCACTTGGGAGGCTGAGGCAGGAGGATTACCTCGTGTATTAGGTCAGCCTGAGCTACATAGTAAGTTCAAGGTCACCCAGGACTACACAGCCAACCAACCAAAAGTCAACCAACCAACCACAAGAAAAAAGAATAAAGGATACAACATGCTCACATGAAAGGAAAAAGAAAAAGGTGAACTCATGGGTGCAGGACTGTGTATGAGTGTGTGTGGCACCCATGCATGGAACACAGCACCACACCTAGGCATGTATGTGTGCTTGGGCACAGAAAATCTTGAAAGATTGCAAGCTTGACTATTCACAGTGGTTAATAACCCTGAGGACGTGACACGGTATAGTTTTTTTTATGGACTTTGGCATTATTGGAATGTTATCACAATGAAAAACACTTTAAAAAAAAACAATACACAGCGTATTTACTTTTTAAAGATGATTAAAAGTAAAGCACAATTAACTTTAAGTAGTCACTTTAATCAGCATTATTCTGTTCAAGATCAAGAGACAGGAACATCTTTCCTCAAGCAGCCATAAACCCCACGACCTGGTGGGCAGGCACCCACTTTCCGTCTGGACTCCATCTATGCACAAAAGGGTCCCCTAAACTAGCATCTCAGTTCCTGAAGTGATTTAAAAAATTAAAACACCCTGAAGGTTTGTCAGCAGAACTTTTGATTTAAAGGAGTATGCTCTGGTCACAGTGCAACCTGCCTGATTCTTGGCAGCCAAGTGAAGGCCATTTGTTCAGTACAGCTCAAGTGCTGGCCACAGTCTCATGTGGCCAGCAAAGAAAGCATATCTCACCTACACTACCCTTTAAAAGGAGAAGATTTATTTGCTTCAAAACGGATGGCCTGCTTTGCCCTCTCAACAGAAGTATAAGGCACACGTAGTGGTTCTCAGTGGTCTTTGAAGTTGGCCTTTCTTTTCTCCACAAATGCAGCCATTCCTTCTCTCCGGTCATCCTGACAGGAAAAGGGAGAAAAGCAGAGGTGAAGTTTACATCAACCCACTGAATTCCCAGTTTGCCTGTGTCTCCTGGCTCACATGATCCAGGGCAGGTGATTCCACAGCAAGGCCATATACAGCTTTGGGAGGACAGGATTCCCGACTAACAGGAATCATGGACCTGGGAATGGAGGTTTTACACCCTCTTCCCAGATGACAGGCACTCAGAAACCACCACATTAATGTCAGGAAACTCCCAGGTAGAGAGCCTGAGGCAGGCCTCTGGGCCACCCTCTTCAACTGGATCTAGCATGATTCAAGTCAGGCATCACCCTCCAGGAGGAAAAGGAACAGAACTCTGCCCTGCATCTGCCCTCTTCGTGTCCACATACACACAGGTGTACACCCAAGTGCATACATCTTCACTTCTTAAAAAGTCAAGCATTTTGATCTTTCTTTTATAAAACAACTATACACGATTGTTTCATAATAAAAGAAGTGATTTATCATGGCAATTAGGAAACTATTTCCTTTGACACGTTCCTGCGAGCTTGAACCACTGGTGGTAATGCATGACTGTCCTATCAAGCGGCTTGTACCACTGATGATAGAAAGGGTCCAGTTATGCATGGGACAGTCATACATGTACACCAGTAGTTTGAGCCGCTCAGCAGCAAAACACATAATGAATGTTATTGGTAGAAATCCTAAAACACATTGGTGGAGTAATTTATGGAAAATGTGGGTGAAATAAATTGCAACTTCTCTCTTCTCTCTCTTTTGAGATAGAATCTCATTTTTGTCCATGTTGGTCTTGAATTCCTGGACTCAAGTTGTCCTCCTGTCTCAGCCTTCCAAGTGCTGAGACTACAGGTGTGTGTCACTGCACTTAGCTCCGAATTCCATTTTATTTTATTTTATTTATTTATTTGGTACTGGGGATTGAACTCACAACCTCAGACTTGCTGAGCTAAATCCCCAGCTCCTGAATTCCATTTTAAATAAAGGAGCTTCTAAAAGAACTATTAGTAGTGTATGTTTGCAGTACAGGATTGCACATCTAGTTCTTTACATCCCCCACACATCTCTTGGTCTTTTTCTCATTTGTAAGATTTATGTCCCTGTTTTCCATTATGTATCCTTTATTTTGCTTATTTATGTATTTATTTATACTTTGGGTTTCTCAATGAAACCATATGATATTTAGGCTTGTGTGTCTGATTTACCTCATTTAACATTATGATCTCAAGTGCATTCATTCAGGAGCTGTTACTTAAAGGCGCAATTCACAGGACCTTCTTCAATAGGAAGTTAATTCTGTAAAGTTTTTATTCTTTTAATTTCCACACATACTTTTTTTTCGCTAAAACCAAGGCCCACTGATAGAACGAATCTGATCTGGCTAGAGGGGAAGACAAAAGCTTGTACCAAAAAGAAATGGCATTTAATGATAAAATGTAAAGAAAATTCCCAGTAACTCTTTAACTAGAACATGCTTGATTCTCAGCAGAATACTGTTTACTCACGGTGGCAAAGGTTGAATAGAAGAGTTTCTTCTCCAATTTATTTCCTTCTGTTAATGTCATTTCAAAGGCTGAAAAAGAAACCTTGCAATCATGGACTGAGATGCTGACTGGGGGAATGAGACTGTCTCCTGTGCAGTGATGGGACACTCTGTCCATTCACACAACCTCACTCAGATGTGCAGGGAGGCTGGCTCTGCTTAGGCTTTTACACTAACCCAGTTAGCCTCTTTTTCAAGTCATTCTCAGCTGAGGTGGCAACTTGAACAAGCCGCTCTCTCAGGGCTTTTTTTTTTATAAATTTTTTTTTGGTCTTTTTTCGTTTTTATCGGTACCAGGGATCGAACTCACGACTGCCTGCTTGAAAGGCAAGCACTTATGCCACTGAGCTAAATCCCCAGCCCCCTCTCAGGGCTTTTGAATTCCCAGCTGTGCAGGTCCCCAGAGAAAGGACTGAGGATATGGATGAAAGACAAACATCAAAATTTGTCCAATTATAAGGAGATGACCAATGAAATCAAAGGCACAACAATGTATGTATATCGTTGCCTCCTGATTCATGTTTTGAAATTGTTTTTTTTTTTTCTCTTTGAAATAAAATGGATTTGGAAAAAAAAAAAAAGAAATAAATCAAAGACACAAACAACTAATTAGGGACACAAATCAAGGAGATAATGACCAGGCACCGGAAAATACCTTTTCAGAGGAGGACACAGGTATGTGCTGTCCTGATATCTGGAGGGAGGGGTCCCTCAGGGTGGGATATGGGGGGGCCGGGGCCAACCTACTGTGACCTTGCTAAAACCCTGACAGCTCCCCCGTGGGTGTTATCACAAGCCAGCTCCTTCAACACTGGTGCTTCTGAGCAGCGCCAATAGTAACCCCACAGGATCTGCCCTTCTTAGAGTGGGTAACAGGTTCAGAGAGGCCATGTGTTGCACACTTCTGCCCCAGGCACTGAACAGAAGCACAGTCTCATTTCAATACTCAGGTAAACTGCTGCATTAAGACTCAAGCAATTCTGAGGAGGAAAGTCAGAAAAGTGTCACTGTCAGTTTTCTGAGAGAAAACTGTAACAATTCAGAGTGCAGTGAGTAGGGCCTGGAACCCACAGAGTGTGATTCCATACTCATACAGCTGCTCTCAGGCAGCCTGTGAGCTCTGGTTCCCAGGCAGTACAGCATCTGCATCCCCACCGTGCAGGCTGAGGACAGAAAGCCTTCAATCCAGATCCCAGGCATAAGAGACAAGCCTAACACCATGAACTTCCTTTGTGGCCTCTTCTGGCCTTGCCTGGTGCTATGTCACTATCACCTCAAGGCAGCTTCCCTGTGGCTCACTTCTTGGCCCCTTGTACAAAGGGATGCTCAGAACACCTCAACCAAATTGCTAACAGCTACAAATCAGGACTCTACCAATAAATTACAATCCTGAGAATCCTACCATTTCTGCCTTGGACAGTCATTAGAAGTCTTGGAATCCTCCTCACTTTCTTTACCTGGCAGACTCCTACCTGCATTCACAGATTCTTTGGCCATGGATGTTATAATTTTGGAATTGCTGGCAATTTTTTCTGCACACTGAATGGCTTCTTCAACCAGTTTTTCAACTGGAAAAATTTTGCTTACAAGACCTAAAATGTGAAAAAAGGGGTGAAAAACAGAGTACCAGTTCCATTTATCAAGAAGACCTAGTGATTACCCAGGAGCTGAGAGTTCTGCACGCTGAACGGGGCAGCTTTATGAGGAGTGGGTATAGGGCCCTGGAACCTCAGCAGCCAAAGTCACTACGCTCTCAACCACACAGGCCAGGCTATCCATGACATCAAATAGTACAGGCAGGAAGATAAAGGGACCATGGTTGCCAACAGGATAGGGAAAGGGTCAGGCTGCCCACCTATGCTGGCCTATGGGAAGTGGCATATGGCATTATTACTCTTTAACCTGAGCAACACTGTCACTCTCTTGTATGTGAAGCATTTCAAAATTTAACACCAAAGGCAGTTAGCTCCCTGGGTCCCTAAGACCCAAAAAGCTTTGGTACTGATTACCCGCAAGATGCAGCCTGACTCTCCCACCAGCTCCCAAGGAAGACTGGCCCTACCTGCTTGCTTGGCTTCCTGGGCTGAGATGCGGTCACCAGTGAGGATCATCTCCATTGCCAGTGACTTTCCAACTGCTCGGGTGAGTCTCTGGGTGCCCCCTGCACCTATAAGGAGAGGGCTGCTTGTCAGCTGGTTCTGGGGCGAGTGAGGTCAAGACGAAATGCAAGCGCTGGGGATGTAGCTCAGTGGTAGAATAGCTTGGCTAGTATGCACCAGGCCTTGGGTGATTCAGTTCCCAGAAGACAGAAAGCTTGGTCTCATTTCAATACTCAGGTAAGAAAGGGAAAGGGAAAAAGAGACAAAGAGACAGAGACAGAGAGAAACAGATACAAAGAAGGAGGGAGACAGAGAGGGCAGGAAGGATAGACAAGAAAGAAAGGAAGGGAGAAGGAAACAGAAGCCATCACAGGGTCTGGGTGTGGTTCAGCGACAGAGTACACTCTTAGCATGCCTGAAGCCTTGGGTGCTATACAGGCACCATAAAGAAAAGAAAAGAGAAAAAGGGACAAAACCACAGAAACACAGCAGGCAAATTCATAAAGGCTAAAGAGGAGGCCTAAGATAAGCGCCTAGGAGTAAGCAGGCAGAACTGATGTGGCCAGCAGGGAGAATAAGCAGAAGAAACCTCAGGGTTAGGCCTCTTTTCAAGTTCAGGCACTCCGCCCTCAGCACAGTGGCTCTGGGCTCTCCTTAGGCTCTTTTGTGACCATTCCAGAAATCTCCGGTCTCCTTCACTTCACATGCTGGATTCCCCACATCAGCTACCCTCACTTTGGGAAGTTGAGGCAGGAAGACTACAAGTTATTGACTTAATGAGATGCTGTCTCAAAATAAAAAAGGAGGAGATACTGGGGGAATGTGTAAAGGCCCTGGGTTCAGTGCCTAGGAAACAAAACAAGCAAGCAGACAAACAAAACTTAGACAGTAGTAGATGACCTCCAAGCATGGCATCCTCTCCCTAGTGTCCAGTCCTTCTTTCCAGGTTTACTAGGTAGACCCAGCAGGGCGATGGCATTGTTCTGTCCCCAGTATCTCAGCCTCCTTTCCCAGGAGGTCCTAACTCCCAGCAATGTGGGAGTGGACAAGGCTAAAGTGATGTGAGACAGAGGTCTTAGAACCAGTCCAAGGTTGCTGTTCTTTCTCCTGAACTACTGACCTACAGGGATCTGCCACAGGTACAAGTCACCAGCAGGGAAGAACCACTGCACTGTAAACTGATGCTATCACTATGTGACATCAGACTCAGGAATCAGCTGCAATCACAGGAGTCCCACATGGCCTAAGGTCCCCAGGTATCTACTCTGAGCTCTGTCATGTCCACTATCCCATGTATCCATTTACAGACTGAATGGCCAGACACAAGGACACACTTCTGCACTTCTGGTCGAATACAAGCAGTTGGTCCTGAGGCATGGGCTGGTCTTAAGAATTACCTGCAGAGTGCACACCAGGGGTGCCACATGCTCACCTGGAATGGTCCCCAGCAGGATTTCTGGCTGTCCAAATTGGGCTTTCTCACCAGCGTAGATGATGTCACACATCATGGCAAGTTCACAGCCCCCACCAAGCTGTAAAACAAGGTTGAACAGCAAACAAGTTTTACTAGAGAAGCCTAGTTTGAAAAACTGCTGTCTGCTTATTGAACTTTTCCAGTAAAATGAATCAGGGTTGGGGTATAGCAAAAATTAATCTAGCAGCACAAACTTAGTTAAGTGTTGGCATAATTACTTACATATGGTTGGTACCATTCACCAGGGCAACAAACTTTTCTGCAAGGGGCCAGATAATACTCTTGGCTCTGCAGGAAACCAAGCTGTGCCACATGGCTCAACAAGAGCCATAGGGGATGTAGACAGGAATGGTTGTAGCTGACCTATGGCTCACATGCAAGGGACCTTATTACATAATCACCATGTGGGCTGGACGTGGTAGTACATGCTTATGACACTTTGCAAGGCTGAGCCTAGCCTGAGCAGCTTAGCAATACCCTATCTCAAAAAACAAAAAGAACTGGGCATGTAGCTCAGAGCAAAGGCTAAGTTCAATCTCCAATATCATAGAACAATAATAGCAACAGAAACAACACAAAACTAAAAACCAAAACAAAACAACCCCCCTCTCCCAACCAAGAAAGATCATTAGGAACAATTACATAACTTTTCCACAGGCCAAACGAGTCCTGGAATTTCCAAAGAGTCCAATTTCCAAAGAGTCCTGGGTAGCAAGGACACTGAGCTACCCAGCAAAGGATATGCTATATTTGCAGAATAGTCAGGGAGCATTAAATTGATTTTAAAAAAATACCCACTAACCCTTTTGGGGAGAGCTAGCAGCTGAGGAGCAAACAAAGCAGATACCAAAGAGTTTTTCTACTTACTTGGCAGAAAAGGGGCCACTGGCCTGAGAACCATACTTGATATTTTAAGAACTTTATTTACCCAAGCCCAATTCCCTCCCACATCTCCTATGCCCCACCCCTGCAGATGGAGACCCCTGGTGTTAACACTCACAGCATAACCATTGACAGCAGCGATGATTGGCTTCTTAACCTGGGTCAGCTGGTCCCAGTGACTTAGGAAGTTGTGGGAGTAACAGTCCTGCAATGTCTGGTTCTGCATTTCCTTGATATCAGCTCCAGCTAGGAATGGAAATGAGATTCCAATAAACATAGACCCCAAATCCATAGGCAGCTAACTTAGAGACCATGGGGCCATAGGCAAGTCCTGCTACACGGCCAGCAAACACTATAATACCTGTTATGACAAGGTAAGGTAGAGGGTTGAGGGTCAGGTAACAGATGCCAGGGAAGACCCAGCTTATTTATCAGCCACTTAACCTGACCAGTAAGGACCGAAGTCCTTTGAAAATGTACATTCTGCTGACACAGCACACGCGAATGTTCAATACTTTACATTAGATCAAATCCTAAGGCCTGTGTCATGGTGGAGGGGCCAATCTGTCCTGCTGCTGCCCAGAGGCAATGCTATCCTTCCCATACCTGACACCACTGCTGCCCAGCACACCTGCAAACGCTTTATCTCCACCGGTAAGCACAATGGCACCCACAGTTGGGTCTGCGTCAAAGGCCTCCAGTGCCTGGTTGAGCTCTACGATCAAGCCATTGCAGAGTGCGTTGAGTGCCTTCGGGCGGTTCAGCTGGATTAGCCCCACATTGCTATTCTTTCCCTTTTTTCCTGTGATGATGTACTCAAAGTTAGCACCTAAAGGAAGAGGGTAAAAGGGAATCTCATCAGGTAGGTGTCAAAGGCACGAACAGACAGACACTGTGAGGTTCAGTGAGGGACCCTGCCCAGTCCTCATGGCTTCTGCCTACAACTCCCTTTACAGCCACTCTCTGCTTTCACATCTGCATATTCATAACTTCTCCAACAGGCCAAACCAATCCTGGAATTTCCAAAGAGTCCAATTATGCAAGGACACTGAGCTACCCAGTGCTTCTTCAAGTTAAAGGAAACCCCCAGCACAGAACACAGCCACTTGCCTTCCCATTTGTCTTGGTCAGCTATTCTCAGAACTCAACACTAAGGACAGAGAAAAGCCTTCATGCAACAAATGCCCTTTAAGAGTAGGACAGAGTAGCTGGGCATGGTGGTGCACGTCTGTAATCCCAACACTCAGGAGGCTGAGGCAGGAGGATTGTTGCAAGTTTGAGACCAACCTGAGTTACAAAGTTAGCTCAACGTCAGCCTGTCTCAAAAAAAAAAAAAAAAAAAAAAAAAAAAAAAAAAAAAGAGTAGGACAGAGTTTTTGGCTATGTGGGTGAGCAGCATGGTGGAAAGGAGACAAAGAGAAAGGACCATTTTGTTCTAGGTGACCATTATGACCCAGACAGGCCATTACCTCAGACTTGGGGATGAGCAGTCTCCAGTGAAAGGAGGTGAGTGTAACAAAATGAGTGTGTGTTGGGTGATTAGTTCCCCTGGCAGTAGACCAGGCACTGTAGTGTCTGCTTCATGCACTTGCAGGCAAGCAACTGAAATATCATATGTAAAGCGCTGAACAGTAGCACGCCTGTCATCTATAGGAGCCAGGAGATGACTGCCAGTGCCAAGTGGAGGGCAGAAGTGGACATTCAAGGACAGAGGGTGAAGTCAACACTAACAGGTAGGTAAGATATATAAGGGTGCAGAAGAAGCCCCGGTCCTGGGATATGACCAAGAATTCCTAGAACTACTGGCGTGGAAGATAGCGCAGGGGAGTCCAGGTGAAGGTGAGCCAAGAGGAGAGGACAACCCTGTTGGCAGTGGAAAGAAGGCAGACATTAAGCACTGGAGCTTCTGCCTGGACAGTACGAAGGGCAGACTAGGGAGAAGCAGAGTACAGAGGGTAAAACTGACAAAAGGCACTGCAGACAAGTGGTGCCTAAATTTCCAGTTCCCCGGCCGACTTGCATGTTTTCTTAAAGTTACCTAAACACTGGTGAAATTTCACAACCAGCATGTAAGTGCCCCGCTGGCAGGAGGTCCCCGCACTGTCAGGTACCGGATTTGAGCAGCTGCCAGTGTGCTCTGCTGCTCAGAGCCTTCTGCAGGCTCCAGGGTCAGGACGGGGCTGGGGTCAGGTATTCAGGGTGAGCAGAAGGAGCAGAGGTGGTGTAGGGTTGAGGTTAGAGGGTTCGCGGTCTGGGTATGAAGATCTCCAGGACAAAAGTGGAGGGTTCTGGACCGGGTCCAGGATCGGGCAGGTGGGGTAATGATGGACCCCTGCACGAACTCACACTCACCCGAAGCGAACGACCGCAGGGCGAGGAAATGGGACAGAGGCCGTAGCAGACCCCGGACGCTGGGCAGCAAGGCACGTATGGCTGCCATGGCTCTAAAGACGTCTATCTTCACTCAAAGCTGCGCCGCAGATGGATATCGCGAGACCAGTCCGGAAGCGGATGGGGAGTGGCGGGGGCGTGGCCGCGCCAAGGTCCGCGGGAAGGCTGAACTTTTGCAGGGTGGTTTCGGTATGGGAGTTGTTAGTCGCTACTGCACACCGAGCAAGGCGTATGTGGGGGGCTTTGGATCAGGCAGAGCAGCGCCAGCAGGCCTGACCTTTCGGAACGAGGCTGTGCGGGGTTCCCTCATTCCCGGGTAGCAGACATATCCTTCTTTATGGTCTTCTGTCCTCAACTTCCCGCTGTTCTGCAGCGTTTCCTACCGGCTCTGGGGTTGCATTAGAGGCGGTACTGAGTCAAAATATTTATGCCACTCTGCCGTGCCCACACAGCATACATGGAGCGCGAGACAATTCTTTACATGGGAGCTAGACAGCATCTGAACATCAGGTTAGGAATAGTGTTTCAGTGAGAGTGTAAATTAAAAATTAATGAAATGTCGATTTATTTAACTATTTTGAGTTACAGCTTTTAAATAGACAGGTATCATTAGCTTCTGTTTCTATCCTTAACTAGATCCTGCAAATGCTGGAGTGAAACCAAAAGAATAAAATCTATAAATGAAAATAAAACTCATAATTCCAAAAAAAGAATTCAATTAAAACCGGAATTGAAGGGGCTGGGGGTTTAGCTCAGCGGCATAAGCACCTGCCTTGCAAGCAGGCAGTCCGGAGTTCGATCCCTGGTACTGATAAAAAGGAAAAAGACAAAAAAAAAAAAAAAAAAAAAAAAAAAAACCCACCGGAATTGAACGTTCAAAAACTTTCAAGTCTGAAGTAAACACTTTCAATATAAACAGAAACAGATCACCAACAAACTTTCACTCAAAGGATCTCTATATTAGAATATGTTAAGCTGCTGTGACAGACCCAAAATGAAATGGCTCAAAAATTTTTTCCTAACAGTCCAGCACTGATGTTGAGGTCTGATAGTCACTGTCCTCTGTAAGGAAATTACAAGTAACAAAAATAAGATAGATGTAAACTAAATTTCATCAAAATTAAAAATTGTACTGTGTTTCAAAGGACACCATCAAGACAATGAAAGATACAGACAGAAAATGTTCACATGTATTGTATTTGGTAAAACTTGTGTCTAGAATATATAAGAACTTTTACAAGCTAGTAATAAAAAACAACCCAATCCAAAAAAGGCACAAATGCCTGCCTGGCAAGTGCAAAGTTGTGAGTTTGATCCTTAGTTAAAAAAAAAAAAAAGGCAATGCCAGCACTCGGGAGGCTGAGGCAGGAGAATCGTTGTGAGTTTGAGACCAGCCTCGGCTACAAAGTGAGCTCAAGGCCAGCCTGAACAGCACACTGTCAAAAAAGACAAAAAAAAAAAAAAAAAAGGCAATGGATTGAACAGAGTTGTAAAGGTCTAAAAAGCATGTGAAAACATGCTCAATGACATTAGTTGCAAATCAAAACCATTTCACACCTACTGAGCTGGCTAAAATAGACAGCAGTACTAACAAGATGTACAGAAGTTAGTGGACATTTGGATTGTTTCCATGTTTTGGCTCTGATAGTCTCCCTGTGTTGGTATGTTTTTACTTTCTTGGGTGTATACCTGCAAGTAGGTTTGTTGCTTAACCTTTGGAGGAAATGTCATACTCTCTTTAAAAGTGGCTGCACATGCAGCTGTGTATGTAGCTCAGTAGCAGTACAGAGCTTTCTTGGCATTTGCAAAGCCCTAGGTTTGGTCCCTAGCACGGCCGAAAAAGCCATGGGGGTGAGGTATATGTGACTACATCATGTTTTCTCCTGTCAGCGGTGTATGAGAGCTCCAACTTCATACTAGGTGCACGTGGAGAGTTCCACACTGGGCTAGATGTGTGAGCTGCAATGTAAGATATATGTGTCATGGGTGGTTCAGGTGGGCATTATGGTGGAGCTCAGAATCATTGGCATGACTGATAGGGTTCTGTTTGAAACTATGGAAAGGGAATGATACTGACAAAGAAACAGCTGGCTGTGGCTCATGTGGCTATGACAGCCACTACAAGCACTACTAAGGCAGCTCGTGGTCATCACAATTTCCTACCTGAGTGTGGTCTGAGATTGGACTGCGAGGCCCAGGAGTGGTGCTGCCCAGACTCACACGTTGGCAAAATGGGGGCCTACCTGCAGCAGCCCAGTATTTTGCTAGCCTCTGTGAGCAGAATTGTAGGAGGCTCTGAGACTGGTGATGTATGTTTCATCAGAAGCCTAAGATTCCCCACCTTTTGAGGCTACCTGAAGGCTCACGGAAGATCATCTGATGGTTCTGTGTATGGCCAACAGGGAGTGCTTGCCCTACCAAAGTGTTCAGAGAAGCCAGAAGCCTCTAGTCTGCTGAAATCCAATGCAGTGGGGGAACATAAATGCTCCCCTGAATTAGAAGATCTGTAGAGTTATATGCCTGTTTGAATACATACTCAACTTTCTGGGAGAGAAACCCAGAAAGAGGGGAGGAGGGGGATATGAGAGACATTTCTTTACCTTCCCTTTGTTGCTATTGTTTGTTTATTTTTGAACACAATCTCCCTATGTAGTTCAGACTGTTCTTGAAATCACTATATAGCCCAATCTCAAACTCAAGGTGATCCTCCTCCCAAGTGCTGAGATTACAGAAGTGCACCACCATGCCCAGCTCTGTTGATCTTTTTTTTTTTTTTTTCAAATTTTTTTTGTCCTTTTCCTTTTTATCAGTACCGGGATCGAACTCATGACTGCCTGCTTGCAAGGCAGGTGCTTATGCCCCTGAGCTAAATCTGTAATTCACCTGCATCACAGTGCTGTATACATGCAGACGTGACTTAAAGAAGTTGCCAACTTACATGGTTCAATTTACCAGTTTTTGGCTTAATAATGATGCAAAAATTATACTTTTGGGGGGCTTGGGATTTAGCTCAGTGGTGTAAGTGCCTGCCTGGCAAGCATGAGGTCGCAAGTTTGATCCATATGCTTTCAATGTAAACAGTATTTTGAATTTTGATTTTTTTCCCAAGCTACGGATATATTACTCTCTTGTAAAATGTAGCTTTCAGCCAAAATGAGGACAGAAAACAACTTGCCCTCTGTAACATACAGTGCTATTAAACTGTGATATTTATGTATTACAGCATTAAGTACATTCAATCTATGATAGGATTCTCAAGAAGTAACTGTACCTAAACCGAGGAGTATCTGCACATGCTTGTACATGCACACAAGTACATGCATGTATGTCCCAGTGTGGCAACACATGCCTCTAATCCCAGCTACACAACATGTGGAAGCTACAGGATTTCAAGTTTGAGGTCAGCCTAAGCAAGGTAGTGAGAACTTGTCTCAAAAATCAGTCAATCAATCAATTAAATAAATGGGGATGAGGATATAGCTCAGCACTCCCTAGGTTCAATTTCTAGATTTTAGAGAAGAAAACCCACAAAACAACAAACAAACAAACAAAAAAACCAAACCAAGATAAAACACAAAACAAAAACAACCCCCCCCCAAATAAAACAAATACACAAAATAAAGTGTGTATGTGTATTACCAGAATTTTAAGGCAAAGTCACTTGTCTTGACCATCTCAACAGATCAGGTTCATCTTCTTGTCCCAAAATGCCAGTCAGGAAGACAAGAGTGACAGTTTAAGTAGGACTGATAAAGAGGTTCAAGATCTGTCTTAGAGGTGTAGAAAAAAATCTTAGGATTTTAATAGAAAAGAGGGACAAAGGCAAAGTTGGGAGGTCAGCATAGCTGAGGGGGGTTGGTTGCATAAACTGGCAGTATAGGTAATCCTGGTCAAGTAGTGGATTGCTTCATTGTAATCTCCAGACTGGCTCTTCTTCAAGGTTCTGGAAGCACCATCATCACTTGAGAGAGCAATTCAGCTTCTATGGTGAGATGACAGTTACTGCTGGTTGGGCTGGGGTGGGCAGCCTCAGTTTAGGCATGAGATTATTGCTTCCACTCGGGAGATGACCTCATGGAGGAATATTTTTTAAGACTTTGCTTTTCCCAGAATGTGAGAAGGATGCAGGTTTAGGACAATGATGAAACTTCTAGGTGTCATCATAAGGGATCAGAACTGAATTTTGTAAAAGCTGGCAATTGGATGTCTCTGAAAATCCTGAACATTAATTCCTCTCAGCTGGGTATGGTGGCACATGCCTGTAATTCCAGCACTCAGGAGGGTGAGGCAGGGGGCTCACTGTGAGTTCCAGGGCAGCCTGTGCTACCTAGTGAGTTTACGGCCACCGTGAACTACACAGCAAGACCTTGTGTCAAAAAAATTTTTTTTTCTCATCTTGGTGTTCTCAATCTTGAAGTGATGAGATAGGCTAGGTAAGTTTCTGGCTAATAATCCTTGTATCAGTTATTAGATGACATTTGTTAAATGAGCATGCCAATGTGTCTGACCCAAAGTTTTAAAATAATAAATATACAGATAAAAAATGAAGGCAAAGATACTGAGCTTTTGGTACCACTGAGCATCTGTGGGTCCAGCCTCTAGGTTCCTGCTACATGAATGAATGAATGAATGAATGCACAGTGTCCTTGCCTGGAGACTCTCTCAGACTCCCTTTGGACAGTTAAGCAATTCCAAGCCCTACCTTCGTCTGCACAAGGGCACCCACCAGACCCATCCTGGTGATATAGGAAAAATATAACTCTCAACCTATTAGGTGTCAAATGTGCTGAGTTTGTAGTCTCATAACATTGCGGAATGAAATCACAAACTAAAGGAAGAAGTTTGAAGAGCTTTTTCAGAAATAAGAGGAAGAATAGCTCCTGGATTTTTAGGAGGGGTCTCAAAAAGGATGGTTACCAACACCCTTTGTCAGGGGTAATTTATATAGCAAAGTCACAAAGTGGGTATGACATGGGTTAAACTATAATCAACCTGTAGGCTTTAAGTACAGGTGCTTAGCTAATACTGTTCTAATAGGGAAACAAACCTCATAGGAAAGATATATTGAAAGAACAAAAGTGTTTTTGAGAAGGGATGGTTCTTCATGCTCTGGTCACTCACTTGCGCATCTGATGCCTATCTGGACTTATTGGGCCAGGCGGGGCTAATTATAGTACAAACTCAAGTCTTTATTTATTCCTTAGGGAGTCAAGCAAGCCTGGCCATTGTGTCGCCATCTGGCCTCTCCAATGACGATTTTGATGTCTTTTTGTGCCGATTTCTTTGAGGGCCCAATCCGTCGCTTAAGATACATCAATTTTTATCTAATGTAGCTGCCTATTAATACTGGGACTCCTGAACTGGCGCCACTGTGCCTGGAAGGCCAGGATGATGGCAGTCATTGCTTATCTGAGCCAGGAAGGTGTCTAGCTGGCTAGATTCTGTCTTCCTAGGGTCATTTGCCACCATCACTGTGCAGCTGGGCAGGGACACACAGGGCAGCCCTCCAAACTGCCTTTGAACCTAGTAGATACCTGTGGGCCGGCCCACATGAGCGGCTGAGCCAGCCAGGCACAGACTGGCGATCCATGGGACCTTGCCATGGATCTACTGCCAAGAGACAGGTGGGTAGAAGAGCAGCGAGGGCAAGACGTAGTTTACACAGGGCCTGCCTTGCCAGGTCAACCTCCTCGCCGGGCCTCTCCCCTGCAGCCTGCACAGTTTGGCTCCGGACCTTTGCACCCCAACCTTAGCCAAACCAGCCTCTTAGCCCCGCCTCCGCCCCCGCCCCGCCCCGCTCCCCTCCCGGCCCCGCCCCGCCCCACTCCCCTCCCGGCCCCGCCCTATTCCCCGCCCCCTCCCGTCTGCCGGTCTCGCCCCTCTTTCGCTTTCCGGCGTGCGCGGCCCTTAGTAGCTGTGAGAATCGGAGCTTGCTATGGCTTCAGGCAGCGGCGGCGGCGGATGCGAGTTCTCAAGCAGCCCGCGGGTGCTAGTGATTGGCGGCGGCATCGCAGGGCTGGGTGCCGCGCAGAGACTGTGCCATTACTCCGCGGCCCCGCACCTGAGCGTCCTGGAAGCCACCGCCCGCGCCGGAGGCCGCATCCACTCGAGACGCGGCTTCGGTAACCGCCCCGACCCCTTCTGGAATCCAACAAGCTGCGCACAAGCCCCGCAGGGACCTTGCCCGGAAGTCTTCCCTGGCTCTCTAGGGGCCCAGGAGATTGAGCCTTGGCCTGGCGGGCTTCCCTGAGTGTCCTTGCTCCAGCTGCAGAGCGACTGGGGCGAATGATCCTAGGAAGACAGAATGTAGCCGGCTAAACACCTTCCTAGATTAGATAGGCAATGACTGCCGAATGAAGGCCACCTCACATAGCTATCTTATGCTGCTGTGTCCCGAAACTCAGCGGCTCCAACTTGGTTCGGTGCCTGTAGCAAGAGACAGGCCCCCTGAATAGTGTTCTCTCCCCTGCAGACCAGCACTCTTCTCCCCAGGTGCTTAAGTAGGTCTGGGACCCTGCTTTTGGGGGCCACTTGGTTCTCAGGGACAGTATCTAGTGGCCCATGGGGCTGGCGTAGCCTTGCAGCTGGTCTTCAAAACATTTTGGAAGGGAAGGACGGTGAGGTCCTGACCTCTCTGGGGAGGGGACCTACAGGTGGCTTCTCTTTGCCTTCCCAGGTGGTGTGGTGGAGATGGGCGCACACTGGATCCATGGGCCTTCCCAGGGCAATCCTGTCTTCCAGCTGGCTGCTGCTTTCGGGCTTTTGGGGGAGAAGGAGTTGTCAGAAGAGAACCAGCGAGTGGAGACAGGAGGCCATTTAGACCTGCGCTCCATCTGCTGTACCAGCTCTGGGACAAGGGTTAGCCTTGAGCTAGTGGCAGAGATGGCCAGTCTGTTCTATGGGCTGATAGACCAGACCCGAGAGTTCCTGCATGTGCCTGAGACTCCAGTGCCCAGTGTCGGGGAGTACCTCAAGAAGGAGATAGGTCAGCAGGTGGCCCACTGGACAGAGGATGCGGAAACCAAGAAGCTCAAGCTGGCCATCCTGAACAACTTCTTCAATACGGAATGCTGCATAAGTGGCACCCATAGCATGGATCTGGTAGCTCTTGCACCGTTTGGGGAGTATACTGTGCTGCCAGGGCTGGACTGCACCTTCTCTGGGTATGAGACCAGGCCCTGCCTTTCCTAGAGCCCTCAATGTCCCCCAGGGCCAAGGGGCTGGCTGGGTTCTGCCTTCTTGCTTTGGGAGGCAGTGGAATGGTGTTGGGGGAGGAATAGGAAGTGTTAGCACTTCTTATTCAGAGAAATTGTGCTTTTCCTAATTTGCTCACTTAAGTAAAAAGGAGTTATTTTTAAGGAAGTGATTGGGGAAGGAAAGTTTTCTTGAACTTCTTTCTGTATTTCCTAAGTGTCAAGTGTCAGGTGAGGGATTTCAGACAGGTCCCTTCCTGTGGCAGGGTGCTGTCCCTAACAGGCACAAGCAGGATCCTCTGCAGAGCTGTCTCATTGGACCCTCCCAAATGTCAGTATTCAAGCTGCTACCCCAGGAGAGGCATTTGTGATGCAGGAATCCCTAGAATCAGAACTCTGGTTTGGGTAAGGAGGGGACCATGATTCTTACATGAGTACTTTGGCAGCTTTGTATTCATTAGCTCACTTAATTCTCCAATTAGCCAGGAGGAAGGTATTAACGTTCCTATGAGAACTATATGAAGGGGAAAACTATAGTACACCCTGACCTGGAACCCGCCTATTCTTTGGGCCTGAGTGATGTTCTCTTTGGTATAGATAAGAACTTAGAGGGTTGATTTTTGCCTATCCTACCCTTCCAGGAATTAGCGCTCTGAACATTATCTATTTCTGTGTCTTCTAGGGGCTACCAAGAACTCACAAACCACATAATGGCCTCCTTGCCAAAGGACGTGATAGTTTTTAATAAGCCTGTGAAGACTATTCACTGGAATGGGTCCTTTCAGGAGGCTGCATTTCCCGGGGAGACCTTTCCTGTGTTAGCGGAGTGTGATGATGGTAGTCGCTTCCCAGCCCATCACGTCATCATCACTGTGCCCTTGGGTAAAGCTCATTTTTCTGGTCAGGTTTTCAGTTTTAGTCCTTAATCCTGAACCCTTGTGTTACCTTACTGCACTGCTGTTTGCACAGATGGATCACACTACTAGCACATTAATTCCTGTCTACCTTGGTGGGTTTTTTTTTTTTTTTTCCTTCCTTTTCTTTTTCAGTAATGGGAGTTGAACCTATGACTTTCACATTGAGCTACATTCCCAGCCCTTTTTATTTTGAGACAGATCTCTCTAAATTGCCCACCTAGGCTGGGTTTGAATTTTGATTTTCTTGCCTCAGCCTCCCAAATGCTGTGAATATAGGTGTGTGGCACTATGCCCAGCTGCTCTGTTTTTTTTGTTTCTGTCAGCTGCCTTGTTTTTAATGAAGCTTTTTATCAGCGTCTCCAAATCAGCACATGGTCTTATTGTTGGACACAAAAGTGACTTTGTTCATTCATATTTGCAGTTTGTGTTCACTGAGCCTATCAAGGGCCAATCCCTGGGGATAATTATGACCACCGTGTGATACATTCACAAGGAGCAGTTCTGGGCTTCTATCTGTTTTTAAACCACATAGCATTTTCTTTTCAATAGATATCATTATTTAATAAATATTAGTGAAGGTTTGCGGTTTTTACTTTGCTTGTTTTACATTGTGCTTGTGCTTGGATTTGAAAGCCCTTGTGTCATTACATCTGAAGAGTGGAGTCTAGTCATGGGAGTTGTTGGTCCAAGATCAGAACAGAGTGACCCAAGATCAGAACAGAGTGACCCATGTGTTCCCATGAGCCCATTTCCTGTTTTATTTCCTCTTCATGACTTTGCTGGGTGCTGTTAGGTTGTTCCTCCTCTACTGACTTTTGCAAGTGCCTTCAGAAAATTGGCTTTTATTTCAGTTGCAAATGTTCTATTCTTTTGTTTGACCTCAATGTTTTCATTTTGTTGTCTGCCTTTGGGTTTAATTGATTTATCACAGTATTGGCGATCAAATCTAGGGATGATGTACTATTGACCTACATCTCTGGTCCCCCCCCCCCCCTTTTTTTTTTGGTACTGGGGATTGAACTCACAACCTGGCGCTTGCCAGGCAGGTACTTATACCGCTGAGCTAAATTCCTGGCCTCCAGCCCTTTTTAATTTAATTTAATTTAATTTAACTTTATTTTTTTGGTACCAGGGTTAAACTCATGACCTCATGCTTGTCAGGTAGGCACTTGTGCTGCTGAGCTGAATCCCTGGCCCTTTATTTTTATTTTGAGATAGGATTTCACTCAGTGTTCCAGGTTGGTTTCAGCTGTGACCCTCTTGCATAAAATGCTGGGATTACAGTTGTATACCACCACACCTGGCTAAAATTATTTATGTATTTATTTTGGTTTTTGGGGGAGGATGAGGTCTGGCTGTGTAATCCATACTAGACTCCTGAGTGCTGAGATTATAGGCAAGCACTACCACACCTGGCTTTATTTATGTTTTTGTTATGCAGAGTAATCTTTATATAAGTTTTTAGTGTGCAGAGGATGTGGTTCAACGTGGTATTTGTCTGACATTTGAGGCTTTACGTTCTATACTTAACACTATCAAGGAAAAAATATGTATATGTTTATATCTGTCTTCTGAATGAAGCCTGTATATTCAAGCACTTCTCCAGACTGATCCTGAGCCAGGTGACTTACAGAGTGAAGAGGCAGAGGCTCAGAGTAAACTACCCCTGCAGAACAGTCTGCAGAGTCAATCTAACTGTCCCTGTGTGATTAGAGAGTGGACCTGTCTTGTCCCTCTAGTGTGGTGGTAGTTGCCCTTGAGTCCTGCTGGCCCACCTTGTCTGCATCCCAAGGTCCTGCATGGCATGCTTTGAAGCCTCTTTGTCTCATAACCCTAAGTGGAATCATGGGATATGGTTCCTGTGGATTCTAGTTTAAATTTAATTTGGTATAAATCACATCTGAATCTGAATTCCAGGTTTTCTCAAAGAACATCAGGATACCTTCTTTGAACCACCACTGCCTGCTGAGAAGGTGGAAGCAATCAGGAAAATAGGCTTTGGGACCAACAACAAAGTCTTCCTGGAGTTTGAAGAGCCCTTCTGGGAGTCAGATTGCCAGTTCATTCAGGTGGTGTGGGAGGACACATCACCGCTGCAGGACACTGCCTCTGGGCTGCAGGACACCTGGTTTAAGAAGCTCATTGGGTTTTTGGTCCTACCTTCTTTCAAGTATGTATGTGTCCAAAGACTGAGGAAGCCTCAGGGCCAACTCGCAAAGTCTCAGTTTGCATGAGGATTTAGTTGTGTGTGGTTCACTCCAGCCATGTTTGAGGGTTTCATGGCTACTTGTTATGGGCCACTTCATGTGGATCTTGCAAGCAAGAATCACTGCCTCTGTTAACTCATTTACTCCTCCTGGGAGCCTTAACAGGTGTGTGTCACTGCACAAGCTCACAAGATGCTGTCTGCAGATACCTTGGGCCTAATACCCTACAGAGGCAGATGAAGGCTAATTGTATGTAGGTTGTCAGCATCTTTAGTGTCCTAGAATGTGCTGGTAAACTTGAAGGAATTAGTCTAAGGGAAAGTACTTATTGGAATTCTGTAGGAAGCGATGGCTTGTAGATAAAAAAAAAATATTTGAAACATGGGTTTGACCTCTATGGGAAACAATATTTAAACGGAATGCAAAAATTGAGCAAAAGATCCTAAGTAATAGAATCAAAAACTTATGAGTGAAGGATTCAAGTCAATAGCCCAGCTGGCCTATGAAGGAGAATATCTATATATGGGAATATAGAACCTGGGAGCTAATTCAGGAAATAACACCATGATATATGGATGAAGGACAGATTCTTCTGGCAAGATCAGAACACAGCCAGTGTACTTTGGTCAGATGGCAGAGGTAACTCCACATTCTATTCAGAGATGTGACAGGAGAGGGACCATGTTCTTAGCCTGAAAGGCAGACGGAGTCAGGAGAGCAGGAGACTGTGGCCTCAGAGCAGTCCCTCACTAGGAGAAAGTGAGCTGTCTGTCCCATTTCGCTGAAGACAGACTTTCCAGGAGTTTGGAAATGAGCCAAGGGTACAGTGGATATTGAAACCAGTGGCCAGTGGACCTAGCCACCTGTTCCTGGCCTGCCTGTGCAGACTGAATCCTATTGCTTAGGATGTGTTTAGGGACAAAAGCCCTGCGAACTCTGAGCAATTTATTGGGATGCTGTCTATGGAAGGGTGGTGGATCTCAAGTCTGTGATTTAGAATCTGTTTTTAAAATGCTTAGGATAGATAGGGCTGGGAGTGACTTAGAGATGAACACTTGCCCAGTGGGTACAAGGGCTGGGTTCAACTCCCAGCATTGAAAAAAAAAAAAAAAAACCCTAAAAAATACACACAGACACACACACAGCTGAGGATCTTGAAGAGCTTTTGATTCATGTGGCGTTATGTCTATATTTACATGAGAAACTAAAATAGCAATTTAAAGATGCTTCTTATTTAAAATGACAGCAATGCACTATTATACATTAGCATAGATAAAATGAAATATAGACAAATTTAATGAGTAAGAGACTTTTGTCTTTTCTTCAAATCTGTCTGCTTTCTGACTACATAGAAGATGCTGGATTCTCAGAATTGCTTCTACATTTTTCCTATTGTGGTGTTTTATTTTGGTAGAAAGATGAACAGTTAAGATTAACAGAGATTTAAAGTTAGAAAAAGATAGTAATATCAAAGTAGTTTTTTGATAGTTGTGGATATTCTGTGGGATGATACCAAACTCAAGACATGGTATTATTGAAGGTTAGCCAGATGTATATATATATGGTTTGTAGGGACAACCTGTGTGCTTGGTTCTACTGAAGTCTGATTGCTTGTCTGATGTTTGGAATGGATCTTTGGCCTATCTTGATGTCTGTCATTTAGAAAATACTGTTTTATTCAGTCTTCATATGGTGACACATTTTATTCTATAATACCAAAAAGTTAAACTTATTAATATCACTACTGCTCTAAGAAAAGTGTTCCACTATTTGGAAGCTCTTATACTGTTGATGGGAGATATAATTTTTTAAACTTCAGGGTTTTTTTGTTTTTGTTTTTTGGCTTTTTGAAACAGGATTTCACTGTGCTGTTCAGGCTGGCCTTGAGCTCACTTTGTAGCCCAGGCCGGTCTTGAAATCACAATGATCCTCCTGCCTCAGCCTCCCAAGTGCTGAGATTACAGGCACATCCTACCACTCCTGGCTTAAAATTCAGGGTTTTGCTTGAGAGCTTAAATTTCATTGTCATCAATAAGTAATGTTTGCCAGTTCTTCTGTGAGAAACACATTGCTCATTTAGAAAATGTCCTCTAACTGCCATAGCTTTGTCTGTCAGGTGGATTTTTTTTTTTTTTTTTTTTTTTGGTGGTACCAGGGATTGGACTCACAGCCTTGAGCTTGCCAGGCAGGCACTTATGCCACTGAGCTAAATTCCCGGCCCAATCAAGTGTTCTTCAGGTAGAAATGGTATCCACGAGGAAGCTTCTGGTTCAGCTAGCCTCAGCAATCATCACTACCATGTGCAACAGAAATGTCTATTTCCAATTTATTCATATAGGTTATTTTTAAAAATTATTTGTTTTGTACTGGGAATTGAACTCAGGACCTTGCACTTGCCAGGCAGGTGCTGTGCTGCTGAGCTACATCCCCTCTCATAGATTATTGAAAAGGGTGAATGTCTCATAAAACCAGTAAATTTTACTGCTTCATCAAGGGTCTTCTCAAGTGAAACTGGCATTTTTTCTTTTTTTTTTTTGAGACAGGGTTTCACTATGTAGTTCAGGCTCACCTTGAACTTACTGTGTAGCCCAGGCTGGCCTTGAACTCCAGGCAGTACTCCTGCCTCAGCCTCCTGAGTGCTGGGATTATAGGTGTGCACCACTAGCCTAGCCCAGTTTTTTTATTTTTTAAAACTGCGTGTGATGGTAATAAATATGACCCTGCCTCTGCTCTGTGAAGGACAATTGCCTTACCCCTGCTCGTGCTCACTGGTGCATATGGTGATGTGGTAGAAGGTGCAAATGCTGTGCTAGTGTTGTGAAAAGAGCCTGACACTTTGAGAACTGCCCTGGGCAAGCTCGGTACCACTGAGGGTGGTGTTGGGCCTTAGCATGGGTCTTTGAGAGATAGCAGAGCTGACCTAGCTGTAGCTCATCTCAGTGATCCTTCTTTTTTTTTTTTATCGGTACCAGGGATCGAACTCACGACTGCCTGCTTGCAAGGCAGGTGCTTATGCTGCTGAGCTAAACCCCCAGCCCTCAGTGATCCTTCTTTCCATGCAGGTCTGTGCATGTGCTCTGTGGGTTCATTGCTGGGCTGGAATCTGAGTTTATGGAGACGCTGTCTGATGAAGAAGTACTTCTGTCTCTAACCCAAGTGCTCCGGAGAGTGACAGGTACTTACTTATTACAGAAAAGAACAGTAATTCAGTAACAGATTTTATTGCCAAGGAAGTATAATGACTTTGAAAATACTTTTTACTAATGTGTCACAAAATAAACACAGTGGTCCTTATTCAGATGCTTTCATATGAAGAAATGCAGCCAGTGGTCAATTGAGTGAACCAAACGCTAGGCTCAGTGCTGTTGCCTGTTGATGTCTATGTAAGTCAGTTTTTGGTCAATGCAACAAAATACCTGTATAAAATAAAAGAGGAAAGATGTAGTTTTGGTTATGGTTTTAGAGGCTTCAGTCCAAGGTTGGCTTATCCATTGTTTTTAGGTTTGGGACAGGGCAGAACTGTTATAGCAGACAGGTAGAGGAAACCTGTTCATCTCTTGGGAGCCAAGAAATAGAGAGGGAAAGAGCTGGACACAAAGGGTAAGGGACAAGATGTGGCCCCCGAAGTCACATCTCTGTGATTTGCTCCCTTTACTTAGGCCCCACCATCTAAGTTGCTATTCAATGCCATCAAATTATGATCTTATCAATGGATTAATCTGCTGCTGAAGTTAGAGCCTTCACGAGCCAATCACTGTCTGAAAACCCCACCTCTGAATACATGAGATTTCTAGGGGACATTTTCAGCCTAAACTATAATAGCATTTGCTTGTTCCTGTGCACTGTACAGTAGAACAGCTAAGGCAGAAATAGCCTCTTAAATATATATTTGGTGGCTTGATTTTCTTCATAGTTTTTGTCTTCCTTCCCTCTCCTCCTCTCCTCTCCCCTCCTTCACTCTTTCCCTCCTTTCCTCCTTCCTTTTTTCCTTCTTTCCTTTCTTTCTCCCTTCCTTCCTTCCTTTTTTGAGGCAGCTACTTGCTATGCAGTCTGGGCTGGCCTTGAAGTCACTGTGTACCAAGTTGACCTTGAATGCAGTGATCCTCCTGACTCAGACTCCTGAGTGCTAACATTACAGGCATATGCTATTTGGCTAAATGGCTCAGTCTTTAAAATGAAAAATTGAGCCGGGTGTGGTGGTACACACATATAATTCCAGCATTTAGGAGGCTGAGGCAGAAGGATTGTAGTAAATTAGAGACCAGCCTGGGCTACAGATGAGCTGAAGGCTAGCCTGAACAGCATAATGAGACCCTGTTTCAAAAAGACAACAACAACAACAACAACAAAAACAAACCAAAACAAAAACAACTACCCCCCCCCAATAAAATGCCCAACAGTTAATGGGAAGTCTCAAATGGGTGGTATCAGTAATCCCAAGCCTCCATTTTATCCCTTAGGAAAGTATGCAGAATTAGCTGTTGTGAATTTGTGGTCCCCAACATGAGATTGGTTTAATGTGCCATATCTCTGTTTCAGGAAATCCACGGCTGCCTGCTCCCAAGAGTGTGCTGAGGTCTTGCTGGCACAGCTCCCCATATACTCGGGGTTCCTACAGCTATGTGGCTGTGGGCAGCACTGGAGATGACATAGACCTGCTGGCTCAGCCACTCCCTTCTGATGGCACTAGTCCCCAGGTATAATGGGAGGCCCTGAGAGTAGAGCCTGGATGTAGAGCCCTGGTGATCCTGCTGCAGATACTGAGAGGTGCTGGAGTCTGAGGGACAGGTGGTAGGATTGGTTCCTCTCAGACTTGGAAGCCATTTTCTTTTCAAAATTAAGAATGATTTAAATATGTATTGTGTCAGAATTTTTTATACATTTAGCTTAGAGAGCCAGAGGAGTCTACAATACTGGCTAACAGAATGAAATAAACCAGAAATATTATAACTGTGGGAGGCACTGGTCTCCTTTCCAGATGATTCTTCCACTGATTTTTTTTCTTTAATACTATGCTGGGGGTCGAACCCAGGGCCTTGAACATGTTAGATAATTGTTCTACCACCAAGTCACAGCCCCTGCTTCATAACCAATTCTGATCTCTAAATTTATCATCTTTTTAAAGTACAAGGTTCTATTACTACTTTAAAAAATTTTAGTATGCAGAACATCAAAAGTGTACAAAACTAGGTGGAGGTTGTGGGTGTCCACCCTGCCTCATCAGGCCCCTCCTGCTCTCCTCCCTTGTTATTGAGTATGTGCATACATTTTGGCATATACCTCTAAAGATAAGGACACTCTTAGAAAATATGTACCTGTATTACTACTGCACTCAAAACTTAAGAAAAAATCCCCAGTGTTATCCAGTATCCAGTGTTCAGTTTTCTAGTCATCATGTGATCTCTCTTTTCAGTTTGCTTTTTGGTCACGTCAATCTTAAATGTTTAGTTTTAGGCGTTACTGACTTCTTCCATGACTCATAAAATCTAGCTTTCTTTCTTTCTCTGCCCACCTTGGCTCTCAAGTCTCTCTGACCTTTCCAGGGGTGATTCAGTAATTCTGGTGAGATCACTCACAATGCAGTAGCCCCGTCTCCTGTCTCTCTGTGTCATGCCTGCATGATCAAAAGCAGTAGTGTCTTCCCACCCATTTGTGGATGGGAGTGTGTGTGGATTTGTTTTCTGCTTGTTTCTTGATAGTTAATTACATCCCTTTTCTAACCCTGCCATTTTTCTGTAGCTCCAGGTACTGTTTGCAGGGGAAGCCACTCATCGGACATTTTACTCCACGACACATGGTGCCCTGCTGTCCGGCTGGAGGGAGGCTGACCGCCTCATGGGTCTGTGGGACCTGAAGATGCAGCAGCCCCGGCCCAGGCTCTGAGCTGGGCCCTCACTTGCTCTGTTCCTTCTGTGTGGAAGGTTGGGTTACTACTCTGACGGATAATTTTCAGTCTGATTTGAGATTTTGGGATCTCACTGAGAGTCTTTTTTGGGTAACTGGGTCACATCCTCATTTCTCACATCTGTTACTAGAGTCTGGCTGGGACTGAGCTCAGGCTGAGTGTGACAGGTATGGGATACTGATGTTAACGGTAATGCTTTGCATATAAAGCAGTTAACACCACCTTCTGTTCAAAGTTGTCCTTATGCCACAGGGCAGCAACATCTATTGCCTATGTCTTTATCCTATCTAGACCAGGCTGTGGCCCTATGTTTCTGACTTTTCTGCCCACAGCAATGGCTGTTCCATCTGGGCTCCCTGGACTGAGCCCTGTGGTTGTCCCTTGTTATTGGCATCATGTTATGCCTGCCACCCCTGGTTTCCATTGCTCAGCTCTATGACCACAGTGTTGACTACCAACCTCCTGTTGTTCATTGACAGACACTATGTTAGGTGCTGACTGGAAGAATTGAGTGATGTATGAGGCACGTCCTGATCTGGGGTTGAGATTTTCTGAAGACAGTAAAGACTAGGGGAGCAGGCCCAGCACGGTAGGCCTGGGGAGCTAGATAGTATTAGGCTGGGCATGGGGAGCATACTGAGGGACTGGGCAGTATTGCATGGGTCTGCTGGAAATTCTCCTCTTTGGTTTCAGTGCACCCTAACAATAGACCTAGGGAATAGATTGTGTTCTTTTTTTTTTCTTGATACAGGAGAAATATAACTCCTTATCTGTTAGATATCAAATGAGTTCCTGGCTCTGCAACATTGATGAATGAGTTCAGATCCAAAGGATGAAGTTAGAATTTTATTGGAAATAAGAATAGCTCCTGGATTTCCAAGGTGTGGTCCTGAATGGGGTGACCACTGAGGCCCTGTCAGGAGTAATTTTTTTTTTTACCAGTACCGGGGATCGAACTCACGACCGCCTGTTTGCAAGGCAGGTGCTTATGCCACTGAGCTAAATCCCCAGCCCCCTTTCAGGAGTAATTTATACAGCAGAGTCACAATGTGGGTACAACATGGGTCCAGCTACAATCCATCTGTGGATTACAAGTGTAGTCATTTGGCTAATGTTGATTCAATAGGGAGGCACAGCACATAGCAAGTGTATATGCCTATCATCATTAACCTTAATTTATCCATAACTTCTAACATAAAGTTTTTTTTTTTTTTTTTTCTTGAAAGGTAATGGGAGGATGGGTTGAGATGTTTTGGTCACCCACCTACATGTCCGATGCCTATCATGTAATGTATCATATAGTGTATTGCAAATTACATTATAATCTGAAATTTCTGTTTAGCTCTTAGGGAGGTATACAGACCTGCCATTGTGTCTTTGTCTTGAGGCCTGCCTTTTTTTGTTTGTTTGTTTGTTTTGGTACTGAGGATCAAACTCATGACCTTGTGCTTGTCAGGCAGGCATTTACACCACTGAGATAAAATTTACACCACTGAGGCCTGCCTTCTTCGATGCCACCCCCAACCCCCAGCCACAGTGGTGATGTGTACTCATCTTTACTGCTCCCTCAGTGGCCATCCCTGTCTGACTGCCTATTAATTTCTAATTTAGCTTCCTATAATATTTTCACAGCAGAAGACAGACCGCTTATTCTTAACTGACCAGTGCCACAGCTACCATGAGAGTTTGAATGTTTCTCTTTGAGTCTAAGGATGGAGAGAAAGGGTACAGTTGGAGGGTGGTATGCCAAAGTAAGGTGAGGGATCCCCCTATAGAGGCCTGCACCTGACCCCTCAGTGGGGCGGTTGGAGGGCTTGTGTAGGGAGCCACTGGCCTCTGCAATGCAGGGTGATCTTGTGTCTTTCCCCATCTTGGCCTAGGCTCTGGGTTTTGGTTCCTCATGCTGGAAAGAAAGGCCTCTGGCACATTCATCTCCGAAACTGCTAGGTGCATACTTAGGCCATCAATCAAGCCCAACTCTTCTGGTTTCCTTCTCATTCTTCAGGTTCAGTTCAAATTGCCCTTCGGGGGCCTGTTGTGACCTCACCTCACCCACCTCCCAGTCCCTCTTCATGAAAGTTAATGGCATCTGCCTGAGCTGTACAGAGCGCTTTCTACTTGTGTCACCAGCTTGGTCACCAGGGATGGAATATCTCCCGATATGCGGGAGAAACTCAACAGGGTTTTGTTGTAATTTATGGTAGACGGCAAAGGTCTTTATTGTTAACATTTGGAGTTTCTTCAGACCATGTTCCTTTGGGAGGCCTTTCTGTTCCTAAAGACATAGCCCCAGCCTGTTACCCGGGAGGAGTACGAGAAGGTTCTGAATGCCACATGACAGTAGTGTTTTACTACTGAGTTATATCCCCACTTCCAGCACTTTTAAGCATTAAGATTTAACGAACGTTGACAAATCTCTGAAATTTTTTTTTTTTTTAAATCCTGTAAAAAAAAAAACCTCAGAATTTCCAAGAAGCAACTGACCTCATAGGTCCGAGTTGGCGCTAGTCCCGCCCTGCCCACACAGGCACCGCCTACCCGAGGCTCCGCTCCACTCTGGTTCCCCCGCCTCCCGCAGAGGTAGAGCTCCGCGCCTGCGCAGGTGTGACGCAATTGCTGAGCACCGGAACTGCCTGGATGGATTTCAGGCCTGGGAGGATCTGCGTCGCGCGGCGCTTCCAGGACGCAGTACCATGCGGTTGTTTCCGCGTGCATTGAGCGCTTCCGTGGCCGGCTGGCGTCAGTCCTTTCCCCTACATGGCCACAACGTGGCGCGGTGGTTCCCGGGCCACATGGCTAAGGGTGAGGTCTGGCGGGAGGCGGGGTTCTGCCCCTTGTCCCAGTCCCCATGGTACATCCTGCGCTGCGGCCTCTTTGGCCGTATCTCCAGCCTGCAATGCAGCGTATCCTTACTACTACTCTGAGGCAGAGTAATGCTGGAAGCCACCCACCATTAAGTTGCAAGGTCTCTTGCTGTTGTCGTCTCGTTTATTCTTCTGCCTCAGCATATTTGGGAATGTCCTGTTGGTTAAACGTCCACATTTGGTTCTAAGAGAACAGCTAGTATAGTGTGGCCCTGGGCATCCAATTGCTGCCGCCCCTCGACAGTTTCGACTGAGGTCCGTAAGGCGGGCCAGCTGCAGCCCTGGAACCTTTTTGTATGTACCTGGTGAGGGGAGGAGGTCGATACTTAACCATGTCCACCCAATGTCAAGGACCTAATCTGTTCGTAACCAAGACCCAAGTGCCATAGAAATGGGGTGTTTACTCAGGGTCACCCACGAACGATCATGTCAGGACCTAGATTCACATGCTGATTCCCTTTTGACAGTGTTTAAGTGTATTTTAGGTTGCATTCTTGACTGGTCAGCTTAAATCTGCCATTCTGAAAAGTTGTGGGCTGGTTCCTTAGTGCCCTTCTCCTGTTTTCCAGGGCTGAAAAAGATGAAGAGCAGTCTGAAGCTGGTGGATTGTATTATCGAGGTCCATGACTGCCGGATATCCTTTCATGGTGTAGAAGGAGCCTTCTAAAACAGACTATGTAGGAGCCACAGGAAACATTCCTGGTCTAGGTCCAGTCAGCTGCTTACAGTGGCTAACAACCTAACATGTCAGTGGTCAGCAGTCCTTATTACACCTTAGAATTACCAGGGAGGCTTTTAAACACCTTGACAGAATCTGGTATGGAGTTCTGGCCACATGGTTTTCTACTACTACACATTGGTACGTCATTTGCCTTGGCTTCTTCCTGCTTCCTTAGGCTTTCTAGTGTGGTCCAGCAATAGAAGTTTCAGGATGTGAAACCTGAGATTAAATGTTCCTGCCCTTCCACTGCCAGGAATCTGGAAATAGTGCAGATGAGGGATTGTTTTAAAGGCTTGCAATGAAATGTTGCTGAGAGGTTCTTTTCTATATATCATAAGGATGTATTTGTTGATTGACATCTCATGCTGGTAAGAAGTTTTTGTTGGCAATTATATGACATTATTTTTTGAGGCAGGGTCTTTTACGTAGTTCAGGCCGGCCTGCCCTCACTAAATAGCCCAGGCTGGCCTCAAACTTGGCGAGTCTCCTGCCTTAGCTTCCTGAGTGCTGAGATTATATGTGTATGCCACCACACCTGTCTTATGACCTGATTATTAAAACAAAATAAAATCTGTAGTTATTTAATGTGTGATAAGAAAATTTTTCTCCAGTCTGATATGTCAGTGTCACATGAGGTGGGAACACATTCAGTCCTGGGACCCCTTGTTGAGGATGGAAGTAAGGATACATCTTCTGTAAGGGGTTCCATGGATCAAAAATGACTTGCCCAACTGCCAGTGCAGCTGTGGGACCCCCATTGATGGGCATCATGAGTCCTTAGTGGTCTTAGAGGGTGACTAGTACTTTAAGATACATACTCTAGTTAGAACTTTATTGGACTCATTTTTTCTTGAATGACCATGGAATTCATTTAAAACTTCTAGATCTTGGTAACTAATGACTCAGTTATAAAACTCTTCTCTGAACTCTGATTTTGTTCTTGGTGCCATCAATCCTGTTTGGTAAACCGTGTGACAGCCTCTGCTCTGCTTGACTTCCTGTCCTGGCAGTGGCAAAAGGTAAAGCCTTTCCCTAGCTGGAAGGGCAGGATCTGGGTCAGCTTTGTAGTTTTTGGGGTGAGACGGCAGAGTGGGCTGGCTACTTTTACTTTGAGATGGGGCTGCTACTTTTGCCTCCAGCTCATGACCAGGGTAGGCAAGGCCAAAATAAGTGAATTGACTGGTAAAGTTTTGGAGGAATTTTGCCTTAATGTTGCCACATCCCACTTTCAGGTCGAAATCCTCTGTTTCAGGAGACCCTTGGAGTGAGGCCTCACTTACTTGTCCTAAACAAGATGGACTTGGCAGATCTCACAGAGCAGCAAGTAAGGACTTTCTCTTATAGTTGCCTAAAGTAGTACAACAGGAATTGCTGACAGCGTGTCACACTGTATTAACTCCCTTAGCCAGCCTCTGCTTCAGGAACAACTCTTGGTTTTATAGTATTCTGCCATGGTTTCAGCATGGCATGCTTCCCTTGAACATTAACTTGTGACTCAAAGCGCTCAAAGTAGTCACAGCTCCTGTGAAAAGTGGTCATCATGCCACTGAAGCCTGAGCGATGCCACAGCCGTGCTATCTAGTGGCCTTTTCCAAGATGATGGATACTCTGTTTACGTGGTGGCCTCTAGTCACATGTGGCCACTGCATCTGAGGAACTGCCTTTCATATTTACGTATCTTTAGTTAGTTTGAGTTTGAAAAGGTGCATAAGACTAATGCTTCAGCCCTATGCAGCACTGGTCTGCCCTGGGGTCTTCTGTGATGGTTGCAGTTTCCCCAGTGTCCACATTTGCCAGCTTGGGGTCCCAGGTTTTTGGCTACTGGCTGCCTTCTATGCATTGACTGGAGTTGAAAGGCTGGGAGTGGGAAAGTCTCAGCATAGCTAACAGATTTCACCAGAGTCAGCCAGAATCAGGAATCAGGCATAGATGACCTACCACCGAGTATTTTCGATATGGCCCAAAGGTAAAAGAAATTGAAAATGTTATTCGAGATGTTGTCTTTGTTTTTCTTGCTGTCAGAAGTCTTTGCAAAGAGATGTTAAAGTCTTTGAATGCAAGTCATATTTTAAAAAGTTGTTAATGCTGGAGAAATTTCTTTGTTTAGCAGAAATAATGCCTTCAGGTTTCTTAGCTGACTGAGGTATGTTCCAGTGACCAGACGCTAGCACAGGTTTTCAGGAAACCAAAGTTGTTAGGATAGCGAAGCATTTCCCTAGGGATATTCCCCAAGGGATATTCTGCCTGCTGTGCAGGTTTGCTGAGCTGATTATTTAAAACCCTCTGGCTGTTTAGGATAGGGCAAGTTTCTCAAACAAGATGTTTGTGGTTTTTATTGCATTTATAGTTGTAGTTGTTTATCATCACAAACACTTTTCAGTTGCTTTTACTAGTGGAGACCTGAGTCTGATCAGTGATGATTGTTTCTGTTTTTTCAATACTAGCTTTCTCAGACTGGTGGGTAAGATAAATTAAAGACTAATCAATCTTGCATTACTAATTTTTAGACAGATATTCCTTCAATGATTAATATACCATGTGTGTGTGTCAGTCAGCAAGAATTTGACTCAAACTTAAATAGCAAAGTAGACAGATAGAAAATAAAGTCTGAGATGCCAGGTTTTTATCATTACCCATTGGACAGCTACAGGCCCAAGTGAAGTCTCAATGCTTCTTAACAAAAGAAACTCTACATCCCTGTTATGTGCCTGCCCTGATGACCTTCCCTCTTGTCCTTTTTGGGGCCAGTGAAATGCCAGGTCGTGCTCAAAGTCTGTACTCCTCATTTTCTGTGCTGGTGCCTGCTCCTTGCTGTGCAGCTCCCGGAGGCTTTTCTGGCTCTGCACAGATGAATGCTTCTGGCAGAGCGCTCCTTTGAGCTCATATCCTCAAAGTTTATTACTTTATTATTCATGTTTTCATTTAGTACTTTAAAAGGGGATGTGAGATTTTTTGCTCTTTGAAATAAAATGGATTAAAAAAGTAAATGGGGTGTGTCTTTCAGAAAATTATCCAGCACCTCGAAGGAGAAGGTCTAAAAAATACAATTTTTACCAACTGTGTAAAGGATGAAAACATCAAGCAGGTAGGCCGTTTTCTGTTTACATGTGATGTTTCTGTTTAAATTACATTGTTTTATAATGCAGAGTTGGCTTTTGTTGTTCAGGGATGCAGGCCTCCTGAGTTAAGCTGTTTCCTGTGCTTGATGTTCACAGCCTAAGATGATTTTTGAAGGAGCACAGAATTATTCTGGAGTGATAAGTAGTAAGAGCTTTTTAGACAGTTCAGTAACTTTTTCCTTTTTTTTTTTTTAAATACAGGGCCTTCCTATGCAGTTTAGGATGGTCCTGAATTACAGTGTAGCCCAGGCTGGCCTCAAACTTCAGGCCATCCTGCCTTAGCCTACTGAATGTGGGGATTATAAATATCTGCCTGGCTATTTCTGATTGTATTTGCTCGGACTTTATGGGTTGATACATGCTTTGTAGAAGGTAGTTATAATCACGATGTGGGGGTGGGAGGCTGTCTCAAAAGCATATCAGAGGAGCCATTTTGCTTGTCCATGGTGGGATGCGGATGGACAAGCTGTGGTCAGCCATGTTTCACTTGGTTGGATGTTGATGTATACTGCCTTTCAAAATTACAGAAGAGCCATAATTTCTGTATTATTTTCTGTATTAGCTGAATGAAGTGTATGGGGTTTTTGTTCCCTTGATTGATGAGTGGAAAGGGGGACAGAGACCTTTATTCTGGTATTTGGAGATGGCAGGAAGTTGGGTGGTGGGGACTTAGAATGTGTGGCTGGTTTGTTACAGATCATCCCGAAGATCACTGAAATAGTTGGAAGCAGCTATCGCTATCACCGAGCAGAGGTTGGTTGGTGGGGCCCAAGGCTGAGTGGTGGATGTTTTATTTAAGGTAATTCCCTGTCCTGTTGACCCTTCCAAGGCTGCCACAATTCAGAGGACAGAGTCCTGTGCCCCAGCAGGAAAGCTCAGCTTTTGTCCTCAGTTTGTTCTGTGAGAAGGGCTGAGTCAGTCCTGTCAACCTCTGCTCTGACCTCCCCTCTCCCTGCGCTGTGGATTTGAGGCTCTTTTCTTACCTTTGCAGAACGTGGAGTACTGTATCATGGTGATTGGCATCCCCAATGTGGGCAAGTCCTCCCTCATCAACTCCCTAAGGAGACAGCACCTTAAGATAGGTATACCTGCAACCGTACTGCCGAACACCGCCCTTCCCACAGGAGATAGAATTGGGGAGCATGGTCAGCCCTCTGTAGCTCTGACATAGTCCTTTGATACCCCATGTTCTGTTTTTTGGGTACTGAAAATCAAACTCAGTGCCTTGTGCTTGCCAGGCAAGTGCTGTGCTGCTGCACTACATTCTCTGCCCTGTGCTTGTATCCTTTTCTGTCAAAAGGACAGTGAATGGTATGACTGAGGGCTGTGAGTCATTCCTTTTACATTTTGTTTCCTTCCTTTCTTCTCTTCTTTTTCTTTTTTTTTCTCCTGGTTACTGGGGATTGAATCTATGGCCTTGTACATGCTAGATACGTGCTTTTCCACTGAGCCACATCCTCAGTTTTTTTTTTTTTTTAATTTTAAAGGGAATAAAATCTAGCAAAGAAAAACAGAATAAAGCCAATCAAAACAAACTAGTATAAGTGACACAGGACTTCAAAACAATAGGAAATCAACAGTGGTTACTATAATCCCTCTTGTTGTCTTCAGAATAGCTGCAAATACCTTCAGACATAGTAAAAATCAAAACAGAACAGATTAGAACCAATTTTAAAAAAATGCAATAACGGACTTCAAAACAAGAGAAGAGTAAATCCCAAATGGCTACCATAATATATCTTGCTATCTTTGAAATAGTTATCCACGCCATCAGATATAGTAAAATCAAACAAAACAAAACAGGGAGGGCTTGCTTCTTGGTGACCTCTTGTCATCCAGCCTCCCGTGCATGGCACTGATTTGCAGGGAGGGCATGCTTCTTGGTGACTTCTTGTTCTCTTCTCCTACAGTCCTCTTTTTAAATTTTTTATTTTGAGACAGTTCATGTTGAACCATTATTTTTGGTATTATATTCATCATTTTTTTTTTTTTAAATATTGGTGTTGGAGATTGAGCCCACGGCCTTTTTACTGAGCGCCCAGTGCTTTAATATATTTTCCTTGTGAATTTTTTCTTCTTCTTTTTTTTGCCCTTTCAGGATTCTCTTTAGTCATGCAGGCTGGGCTTGAATATGGGATCCTTCTTTCTCCCAGAATGCTGGTATTATAGATATGTGCCACCGTGCCCAGTGTAGTCATGTAATTTCAAAGTTTATTTTCCTTTAACAGTGTCATTGCTTTTTTAAATGAAGTGCTGGGAATTCAGCTGAGAACTTTGTGTGTGCTACACAAGTGCTTTGCCATTGACCCGCACCCCAACACTTTTTAAATTTAGTGGTATTAAGTACATTCATAAAGTTGTATAGCCATCCCCAGCTGTTTCCAGAATTTTTCATTACCTTAGAGTGTAACTCTGTAAACAAAGACAGCAGACCTGTTCCTTTCTCCAGCCCCTGGCAGCCCCCATTCTACTTTTAGTCTTTGAATTTGGCCATTCCAACACTGCCAGTTAGTGGAATTGTATTATACTTGTCATTTTGCAATTGGCTTATTTCACGGGGCACAATGTCTTCATCCATATTGAGCTCTGTCAGGATCACTTCCTTTTTAAGGCTGAGTCACACTCCTCTGTGCATCTGTACCATATCTTGTTCATCTGTGACAGACTCTCATGTCTCTTTACTCCTTCACTGAGCAGCCATTGCATTCAGACCCAGGCCCTGTTGGTCAGGCCTGTTGTGAGCTGTGCTGGGAGGCAGGTATGTCCAGGAGAGAGGGCCTGGGACTAGAGGATGAGGTTTGGCCTCATCCTCATTTGTTGAGCCTGTTAGTCTCTGCCTGAGATTTTGAAAAGTGTTTCTGCCCCGAGCTGTTTGTGGCTGAACATGGGATGGTGACAGACTTTGGAGTGTTGATTCTATTTGCCAGATTGTTAGTCAGACATGTATGTTTTATTCTGTGTTCTTAGTTGAGTGTCAATGAACATTTGATGGTCTCTTTCTGTCATGCAGGAAAAGCTGCCAGAGTGGGTGGTGAACCTGGGATCACCAGAGCTGTGACATCCAGAATTCAGGTAGGGTACTTAGTGGTCATGCCTGATATACCACCCAGAGGCTGTATAAGCTTCATGTCTGGCACTGCTGAGCTCCCCTTAGTTGCTCCTGCTTCCAGCCATCCTTGCCTTCTCTCCACTGGCAATCTCATGCCACACACTGTCCTTGCACAAACCTGTGGCAGCCATGTTCCCTATCATACCCAGGGTCAAGGTGAGGTAGAGATGAATGGAGCCCACTCTCTGTTTTCCCTTTTGTTCTCTATAGGACCTGGTGCTTTTCTTCAGTTTGCAAATTCAGTGGAAAATAAGTGCTGTAGCAGTACTAGTGCTTGAGCCTTTGCTGTGGGCCCTTATTTAGCTAGAAGCTCCATGTGAGGAGGTGCCCTGGGGCAGCTAGGTGGGAGGCTGCTGTCAGGATCTGCTGGTGTCTTCTTTGCACAGGTGTCTGAGCGGCCACTGATGTTTCTATTGGACACCCCTGGGGTGCTGGCTCCTCGGATTGGAAGTGTAGAGACAGGCTTGAAGCTGGCCTTGTGTGGTGAGCTGTGGTTGGGGTGGGTGCTCCTCAGTCCTACCTTTAGGGCTCCACTGCTGAGCTGGGTGTAGCCCTTAGGCAGATAGAATTGTTACTGCCTTTCCCCAGGTTGCTGCCAAAAACTTTTCAAAGCTTAGTGCAGGAGCCAGAATGGTCCATAGTGTGTACATGCTGATCTAGCCCTGCCCTGGGAAAATGGCTTTTGCTTCCCTACTTGTGAATGTGGGCAGAAAGATCACACTGCATGCTCAAGTCATGTGCCAGATGGAGGAAACCCAGGCTAGTGCTACCCTTCACGGAGTCTCCTTAATAGCAGGGTTGTTTTTGGGCCAAGACTTAAGGGTACAAGCTTGGCAGGGGTGCAGATGCTAGTCATCTCCCGTGCTCAACTCTGCTCTCTGTCTCCTAGGAACAGTGTTGGATCACCTGGTTGGGGAGGAGACCATGGCCGACTACCTCCTCTACACCCTTAACCAGCACCAGATGTTCAAGTGAGTGTGGGGTGGGCACCTGCTGCTCATTCATCCTGGCCAAGTGTGGTTTGTTCAATATAGCATTAAGGTAGTGTAAACATACAGTAATCTATATGTTATTAAAAGCATATCATTTGCTAAGTTTGACAGTGAATGCATAATCAAGTAAATGGGCATTTCTATTATGTTGTCTCTCATGCTTTGTATGTGCCTTCTGTTCCTCCTTGTGCTCAGGCAGCTGTCTGTCACTAGGTGAGTTTTCATGTTCTAGAATTTCATATCTGAGGAATTGTACAGGGTGATCCTGTCATCTGACTTTTCTCCCTGACTGTAATTGTTTGAGATTCATCCAGGCTGTTGTATGTAGTGGTGGCTTATTCCTTGCCATAGTAGTTCATTGTTAGGAATACTAAAGTTTGTCCACCCTTTCACCTTTGGGTGGACAGTGAGTTGTTTGTAGACGTTGGGTAGTATTAAAAATAAAGCTTTTTAGGGCTGGGGATTTAGGTCAGTGGCTCAGGTGCTTACCTGGTAAGGGTGAGTTCCTGAGTTCGATCCCCAGTACTAAATAAATAAGTAAATAAAGCTTCTGGGAACAATTCACGTACAGGTTTTTATGTAACTTGAACTTTCATTTCTCTTCAAGAGAGTAATGGTTGGTCCCTGTAGTAGGTGTATGTTTTAATTTTTTGAGAAACTGCTGAACTAATTTCTAAAGTAGTTGTACTAGTATTTTATATAGTAACTAGCAAGGAGTAAAAATTCTGGTTTCTCAGGTGGGTATGGTGGTACACGCCTGTAATCCCAGTTCTCCTGAAGCTGAGGCAGGAGGATTGCTGTGTTTGAGGTCAGCCTAGGCTACATAGTGAGTTCAAGGCCAGTTAGAAGTATATAGCAAAATCCTATCCCAGAAAAACAAACAGACAAACCAAATAACCCCCCCAAAACCAAAACTGGTTTTTCTATGTCCTCATCAATACTTGGTGTGACCGTCTAAATTTAGTCTAAAGATATTGGAGTATTGTGTGGCAAGTGGTGTTGAGTCCCTGTTCATGTGCACCTGTTTGTCTTCTCTGGAGAAACATTTCTCCAAATCTTTGTTTCCGTTTTTCAAAGCCTAGTTGTTTATTTTATCTAATTTTTAAAAAATTTTGTTTTTAGTGCTAGGGATTGAACCCTGGCGCTCACTGTGCTAAGCATCTTCCCTACCACTGTGCTACATCTCCAGCTCCTTTTTTCTTAATTTTAAGTTCTAGTAGTTCTTTATATATTCTGGATGCAAGCCCTCAGAGATGGAGGTTTGGAAATGTTTTCTCTGAATCTGTGTCTCTTAGTATTGTCAGTTGAGAGTGGATAGTCTTAGTTTTTGTAAAGTCCAGTTTAGTAACTAGGGCTGTTATTGTCATATCTAAAAACTTATCTAAACCAAGGTCATGAGGTTTTCTTGTTTTCCTCATGAGGATTGGTACTGTACTTCAGATTTTACATTTAGATATGCAATTCTCTTTTGATATGCATATATATGCTTTTTGTATATGCTTTAGACTAAAGGTATGTTTTTGTACACAGGTAACCAGTTGCTCAAGAAACATTTTAAAAAATACATATATTTTTTAATTAATTAAGTTTATTGCTACATTTTAGTTATATTGATCACATTCATCATAGAGAATTTTTATCTGTACATGACGTGTCTTCTTTTTTTCCCATCCCCTTACCTTCCATTCAACCCCTTTTCCTCTTCATTTACAAAAGCTTTGTTTCCATTTTTCCTTCTTTTCTCATCTCCCCCCGCCCCCATTCCCTTTCTCATTTGAACATTTTCTTTCCATTTCCCAACATTATTCATTTTGATCCTTATTTATACTTCAGTTTCTCACACCAGATAATGCAGTATTTACATGTGTGTCAAATTTATTTCATTTAAGAATATGGTGTCAAAGTCCATTCATTTACCCAAAAATGACTCATATTTATCCTTCTTTATAACATAGTACCCCATTGTATTAAAAAACCACATCTTCGGGCCAGGGATTTACCTCAGTGGCATAAGTATCTGTCTGGCAAGCATGAGGTCGTGAGTTCAATCCCCGGTACCGCAAACCCCCCCCCCCTCAAAAAACAAAAAAACCCCACATCTTCTTTATCCATTCATCAGTCGATGGTTATTTGAGTTGTCTCCAAGATACCGTTATTACAGACTGTGCTGCTATAACTGTCAGTGTGATATTACTATAATAGATGCTTTTAATTTTGTCAGGAAGATACCAAGAAAGGAAATAGCCAGGTCAAATGCAGCCTCTAGTTTTAGGTTTTTTAGGAATCTTCACACTGATTTCCATAGTGGTTGCAGAAGTCTACACTCCCACAAACAGTGGGGAAAGCTTCCTAAACTTCACAGTCCTGCCAGCACTTGTTACTGGTTGATTTCTTGATAATAACTATTCTTTGGAGTGAGATAGTATCTCAGAGTTGTTTTAATTTGCATCTCTTGAATGACCAATGCTGTTGAACAGTTTTTCATATATTTATTTGCTCTTTGTACTCCTTCATCTGGCAAATGTATATTCATCTCAGATGTCCATTGTTTGAATTAGGTCTTTAAATTTAGGGGATCTGATTTTTTGCGTTTTTTAAACATTTATTCTAGGTAGTAATCCTTTGTCTGAGAAACAGTTGGCAATTTTTTTTCCCACATTATAGGTTGTCTTGTCACTCTGTTGGTGGTTTCTCTTGTTATCAAAAGCTTTTTATAAGATTAGATTCCGGTTGTTGACTTGTGATAGTTCCTATGCAATTGCAGTTTTGTTCATAAAGTCTTTGCCTACACCAGTGTCTTCAAGAGTTTTGTCTTCCTGTAGATTTAGTGTTGCTGTTTTAATATTTAGATCTTTGATTCATTTGGATTCTAGTTTAGTGCATGGTTAAAGATACAAGTCTGGTTTTAGTCTTTGGCATGTAGAAAGCCAGTTTTTCCAGCATTATTTATTAAAAAGGCTGTTTTCTTGTAGTGAAGTTGTTTGGCTCATTTGTTAAAGTTAAGGTGGTTGAGTATGTCTGGAGTTGTTTCTGCATATTCTAATCTGTTCCATGATTCTTCAGTGTGCGTTTTTGCTAGTGCTGTTCTGCTTTGTAGTATAGTTTCAAGTCAGGGATTCTGATGCCTCTGCTTTGCCTTTCTTACTCAGTATTTGCCTTTGCTTTTCTAGATCTTCAAGAAACATGTTTTGAATATTCTTTTCTTTTTCTTTTGAGATAAGAGTCTTGCTGTGTAGTCCAATCTGGTCTTCAACTTACTATGTAGCCCAGATTGACTTCAAACTCAGTGCACTCTTCTTGCCTTAGCCTCAAGAGTGTTGTAGTTCTAGGCGTGTGCCACCATGCCAGGCCGAGTAATCTTTTTGCCACTAGTTGTCATTGCATCTTTGTAGGAAATCAGTGTTCTTCCATATGTGGCTCTGTTTGTGTGTTTTTTTTTTTTTCCCCAGTGTTCTTCCATATGTGGCTCTGTTTGTGTGTTTTTTTTTTTTCCTGTTGCTCTATTTGTCTAGATAATTGCCTCTTTGGCTGTAGTAGGTCCTTTACATGAATTTTTGGTTTCTGTAAAACTTACTTTTAGTTTGGGGGTGGACTCAGTGATAGAGCTTTTGCCTAACATGTAAGGCTCTGGGCTTGATCCTTAGTAACCCCTCCCAAATCACTTCTTTTCTTGAGGGGTAGCACATTCCATTGAATTTATAGTGAGTCTGAGGGACAGTTTATTTAATATCATAACATTATTGACCTCAGTAATGTGTGAGAACAGTATCTCTCCCAAATCATTTAGTTTTTAATTTTCAGCTCTAGGTCTTCTATGTTTTTTGTAAAGTTTAACTTATATTTTTGATGCTATTATAAATAGTATTTTCAGTTTCACTTTTAATTGTTGCTTGTTTACAGAAACACAGTTGATTTTTAAATATTAATCTTGTATCCTACAACTTTGCTAAGCTTATTCATTTGTTCTAATAGTTGTTTATAGGTTCAATTAGATTTTATACCTAGACAATTATGTCTGTTGCAAGCAAGGGTAGCCTTATCTTTTCCTTTTCAAATCGGATGCCTTTTCTTTCTTTTTCTTGCTTTATTGCCGATGAGAACCTCCAGCTCAGTGTTAGATGAAGTAGCAAGACGTGCATCTTACCTTGTCCGCCTCTTAGGCAGAGAGACCAAAGGTATATGAGATCAGCTGTGGCATTTTACAGATTTAGCAGTCTGGCTAGAGGTTTAATTTTATGTAGCTTCCTCAGAGGATCAGCTTTTCACTTTAGTAATATCTCCATTGTCTGTTTTTTGTACTATAATTAACTTGTGTTCAGTCTTTATTTCTTTATTTGTACTTTGTTGATATTTTTTCTATCCATATTGCTAAGATTTGATAAGGGCATTGAATTCTTCAACCGTCACTTAATCTACTTGTTGAAATTTTCACAGCTTTGGTTTTGTATACTTTTTTGTTAGGTGCAGAAGCATTTAGGATATGCTGTGTCCTCTTGATTATTCAACATTTTTGCTGTTGGGAAACCTTCCCTATCCTTATATTCTGTGCTCTGAAACAGACCTTTCTGATATAATACAGTCATTCCAGCTTGTTTTGATTATTGTTAACATGTATATTATTTTTATCATTTTACATTTATCATATTTAGGTCTTTAAAATGTGTTTCTTACAGACTGCATGTAGTTGAGTCTTGTTTTTTAATCTGACAGTCTCATCGCTTATGTTATATATTTAGATAATTTACATGCAGTATGATTATTGTGGAGTTGAATTGTATGATCATACTGTTTATTTTTTAGTTGTCCCATCTGTTCTTTGTCTTCTCTTTTTTTCTTTTCTTTTTTTGTCCTTTTTGGAATTGAGTATTTCTCATGATTCTACTTTATCTCCTCTTGTTAGCTGGTTACCTGTGACTTTCTTGTGCTTTAGGATGTATCTCAGGTGGTTCTCATTTTTTTCCTTCTGACTTTTCTTATACTGTCACCGCACATTTTACCTTTGTATACTTTATACATATGAAAGATACTGTTACTTCATTTGCATATGTAGTTATCTTGTAAGGAAATTTAAATTATAAGAAGAGAACCTTATGTTTTTAGTGGACTTGTTAACATTCCAGGTGCTGTACATCTCTGTGGAAATCCAGGTTTTCCCTGGCATTTTCTGTGCCTGAAAGATTTCCTTTAATACCTGATGCAATGCATGTTGGCTGTGATAACTCATCTCTGTCATGGTGTAGATCTGCTCACCTCTCATTTCTGTCATGGTGTGGGTGGTTGTGACCTGTCTTGGTTACTTGGGAAAGAAAGCTTTATTTAGCTCATCGGTTTGTGGAGGTATGAAGGAAGGGAAGTTTATTTAGCTCACAGTTTGTGGAGGTTTCAGTCCATAATCTGGGTCCAAGGCAGAGTGGCTAATGCTAGAGGGCAACATTTCATGGTAATGGAAGACAGCAAAAACAACAAGAGCAAACAGGGAGAAGCACGCAGAGAAGACTTTCTGTTTCTTATATGTAGGCCATGTCCACCCTAGGATGGGTGTAGCGCTCACACCCATAATCCTTGCATTGGACCATGAGTCAGTCACAGATTCTAGAAACTTGCCCCCATGACTGCATGAGGCTTTGGGGAGACATCCAGACACAATCTATAATATGACCCCTGCTTCCTGTTAGTGGTGCAGATTAGCTGCTGACACTGACCTGTGTCCACTGTGACCCCTTACCTGTTGTGTGCAGGTCAACTGGTAAGGAGTCCTTTGATTTTAGCCCCTGGTTGTACGAATCTCTTCTTTCCACCTTCATCTGAAATTGTTTTCCCTGCATCTGAAAGGCTGGACTGATAGATTTCTAGTTTTGGAGAGGTACAGCTCAGCCTGACCCTGTCTTTCTTTTGCTGAGGAGTCTGCTGCCCCTTGTCCTGTTCCCTCTGTCTTCATAATTTCTCAGGTTGCTTCTCAGTGTGTTTGTTTTGTCACTACTTTTTGAGTACTTTGGTTACTCTGGCCCTGGCATAGTATTCTTCATTTCTTGTGCTTTTAGGTTGTTGAGCTTCTTAAATCTGTGACCTTCTGTTTTTTTTTTTTTTTTAATAACATTTGGCTAATTTTGAGCCATATTTCATAGTGTTTCCTCTGCTTCCTTCTACTATTCCCTAAGGCTTGAGTCACCAGCTTCCAGGCCCCTTAGCCTTGTTCACTGAGATTCCTCTTTCCTGGTCTGAGTTTGTCAGTGGTCTTTGTATTGTCTAATCATCCCATCTCATTTGCTTCTTAGAGCTCTCACTTCTGGAAGTTTGGTTCAGACCTTTTTTCATACTCTCCATATCTCAGCTCTGTAACTATGTGAGATGTAATTGTTAATCACTGACTTGATGTTGGATCTGTTGATTCTAACATCTAATCATTTGTGGACCAGAGCTAACTCTTCGTTTTTGTTTTGGTCTCCTGCTTTTTAGGTTCATTTTTGATTGGGTGCAGACTTTTTGAATTTATCTTGTTAAATGATGAGTCTCTACTTTCTTTCTTTTAAGAAGTTTTTTTTTTTTTTTCTTGGTTTTTTGAGAGAGAGTCTCACTATGTAGTCCAGATGGCTTCAAAGTTGAGACCATCTTCCTGCCTCAGCTTCCTGAGTACTAAGGTTTAGGTGTGTGCCACCACATCTGGCTTCTTGTAAGAATTTTTGAGATTTGGTGCAGGGACACCAACTTACTTGGAAATAGGCTGGCTTTTTCAGGAGTAGCTTGGCCACTCTGGGATGTGTGTTGCTGGCATGGTGCCTCTCAGAACTTTGACTGGGCCTGTGGTTGTGTGCAGGTATGTGCAGCACTATGGCCTGCATGATGCTAGTGATGACATAGAATTTGTGCTGAAGAGCATAGCTGTGAGGCTGGGGAAGACGCAGAAGGTGAAGGTGCTCACTGGCACAGGTGAGTGATACTGTCGGGCCACATGGGGTTCTCACCCTACCACGTGGTAGGCATGTTAACCACCCCTAGAGGAGGGTGGGAGAAGGGAGACCTGGAAGGGAACATGTTGGTGGTCATCCTAGGTTTGGGGCTCGGAAAGGGAGTTATGCAAATTCCTAGGAGGGAGGAGCTTACAGGCCAGAATTTTGAGGGTGAGACTGACCCTGTTCCTCATACCTTGGGAGTGTTAGGTAGACATTAATTTTTTTTTTGGATATTGAATCCAGGACTTTGTGCATGCTAGATAAGTGCTATACCACTAAACTACATTCTAAACCCTTTAAAAATCTGTTAAATTTTAGACAGGATCTCACGGAGTTGCCTAGGTAGGCCAGGTAGCCCAGTCCTGTCAGCCTCTTGCGTAACAGGATGGCAGGATGTGCCTGGATTCTGTTTTCCTCCAGAGTATGCCCATCTTTCAGGTTTTACAGATGACCACTTTAGGGTCTCTTAGGGCTAGGCTGTCTTCTTGGAGGTGCCTTCTTCACCAGCCTCTTCCTTCCCTAGGTGATGTGAATGTTGTCCAGCCCAACTATTCTGCGGCAGCCCGTGACTTCCTCCGGACATTTCGCAGTGGGCTGCTGGGCCCAGTGATGTTAGACCGTGACATCCTGCAAGGCTGCCTCTCTGCCAACATGGACCTCTGAACTTGCTGGGAGAGGTGTCTCCCCCTTACCCCCAATTATGTTTGAAGCTTGAGACTGCCTACCCTTTCCCAGAAGTTCCCTGCTGGTCATCATGACTAGAGAGCACATCATGCTTTCCTGCCCACCAGGCCAGCCTTATAGGGAGTGGGCTTTGGGGTCCCAAGCGATCTTGGTGCCCGGCTGTGTGGGAAGGCTTCTGCTCAGTCTTTCAGTGCTGTCTCAGAGGAGTTAAGGCTATAATCTTAGGTTTTAAAAATTCAAATAGCCAGGTGTGGTGTTGCATACCTGTAATCCCGGCACTTGGGAGGCCGAGGCAGGAGGATTGCCAGGAATTCCAGGTGTACCTGGGCTCCATAGTGAGGCTGATCTACATAGCAAGACCCTGGCTCAGACAAAATGACAACAAAAAATTAAAAGTCCTAGTTCTTGTTGGTCCTTTCATTTGTATACCCATAGTACCTTAAGCCCGTGTATTAAAAGTTGGAAATAAGCAGGTGGTAAATGCCCTGCATCCCTGCAATGAGGACGAGTCCTGCTGCCAGTAGAGGGTTTATTTCACAATCACTTCACTAGGAAAGGTGCATACAAACATGGACAAGAGATTGGGAGTAGTGGAACCCAGGACTGCCAGTCCCCTCGGTGCTCTAGGGTCCTCGATTCCTGGCAGGCTGCTGGATCACAGCTCAGCTGTGTGTAAGCCAGAAGGCTGGTGTGGGAGGCACCTCCTAGCCAGTGGGGTAGTGGTACTGTGTTACAGAAGAGCCTGGAGAAGGTGCCCAGGGTCTGGCCTAGCATCATGGTCATTGTGAATACCTGCAAGTTACAGGAAGTGTGGCTGTTGCAGCTACCTTGGGTTAGATTGGAGCAGAGAAGAGGTGCTGTTGGGCTGGGTGGGGTTGGACCTGGTCAGTCCCTCCAGCCTCATCTCCCCAGTGGTGGCCTGGCTTTCTCATAGCTGCCTGAGTGCCTTCCAGGGCCACAGTACTTGCCCAGTCTTCTTGCTATGGGGAGCTGGTCTTCCGCTGGTGCCTCCTGATGCAGCTTCCACATGTGACTGACCCTTCTGGTCAGGGGAGCTGTTCAGAAATGGTGGTTGTGCGAAGTGCTACATGCACACAAGAAGTCAGCTTCATGTCCAGTGGTAGCATCACAGGGGGATGTTCCGCTTGTGTCTGGAACACTGTGATGCTCATGGTGCTCTAGGATACATGAGGGTCTAGTCCAGTGTAGTCCATCATGGTATCTGAGAAGCCAGTGGGCTCTGATGGTTCTCTGTGACTCAGTGGAAAAGATGTCTCATCTGCCTTTGAGGCCTCAGGCAGGACAGACAGGTGTGCTGCGCTTGCTCTGGATTGAACAAAAGAGCATCAGACAGCTTGTGCCGAGAGCAATGGCAGTGTGGACGAGAACTGCGGGGAGCCATGTCCTAGGACTTGCTATTCCCCCAGTCTAAAGGCTTGGTCTGGGGTCTTCCCACTGGCCTTGAAGCCTGCAGTCTCACCAGGCTAACTCATGGCTGTGTGGCAACCGGGAAAGTGCTGCTCTCAGAGTTGTGCCACTGTTGAGCCTGTTTGTCCCTTGGTTCAGAGCTTGAAGGGGACTTGCTGCAGGTAAGTCTCAAAAGAGCACTGAGGGGCACCAATGCCTAGAAAACCTCTCTAGCCTGGGGAGTCTGTTGTATGATTAGAGCTGGAGAATTTGGCAGAACCAACAGCCCCCTGAGCTGGGTTTGCAAGCATTTGCTAGGTGGGCCCTGGAGAAACAGGAGTTAGTTTGTGTACGAGGTGTGTGGGAGCTAAAGGCAAATCGATTTAGGATTGCCTAGTGTCTCCTTGAGGCTGTTCTGGTTGTCAGCTCAGGATATCCTTGAGTGGCCAGACTGCCCTAGGTGGCCTTTGAGGGAGCCCAGGCTTGCTGTGATACCTGGCTATACCCACTGGGGCTGCTCCCCACCCCCATGGCAGTCAGCCTTTCTTCAGCCACCATAAGGTGGCCATGAGTCCGATGAGCTGTTGCCTCAGTTTGTTGAGCAGAATGTCAGCTGCCACTAGCACCACACTCCAAGGTAAAACCTGGCCACTGGGAGCTGCTGCTGCCCACCACAAAGGTGGGCATACCTTGGCCTCAAGGGACATGTTCTAGGAGCTGTGAGAACCATGTTAGGCATTCCTGGGATGGATGGCTTTCCTGCTTGGAACATTCTGGGGCTGTAAAATCCTTGGGACCTGCGCCCGGCAGGTAGTTAGCACCTGGCATTTCCCACACAAGCCTGAGAGTGTCCTTTCTTTTTCTGCAAATCCTGAAATCCTTTGGTCCATTCCAGCTGCTTCTGTGGGAGGCCCTTGGCTATGGCAGAACCAGACCCATCTGAGAGTGACCTCTGCCTGAAGGTCAACATTGTCCACACCACAATATCCAGTGCAGGCAGTGAGCATGAGTGGCCTGAATACATGGTCTTGGTTCCTCCTTGTGGTGGTGCTGTAGAGGGTGACCCGCGCAGTGTAGAGCTGCTGGCTGCTAGCCAGTCTGGGTGCAGGGACCCTAGTTCCCTGGTAGGATGGGAGATGGGGAGGTTGAGACAAGCTTGGGCAGGAGGGTGGACAATGTGTCCACAGGCAGCAGGGGCTGCAGCTCCTGCCCCTCTGGTAGGAATTATCCAGGTTGCCTTAAGGCTCATGGGCAATGGGCAGTAGAGAGAAGGGGCGTTTAGGGCTAGTGGCCTCTGGGATGGACCTGCAGGGAAGGTGTGGGCTAGGGGCTGGGTCTGACCCCTAGCCAAGCCAGGCCTATGGCTGCTGCAGCTCCAGGGCACCAAGGGTGCTTCCTATCAGCAGACAGAGGGGCATGCACTGTAAGCAGCCAGTGCCTGAAGTCCAGGTCCAGTAGCTATAGACACTCCTGCTCGTCCCGTTCCTGTCGGATAGCCCGTCCTCGTCGTCTTCCAGGCCTCCTTCACCGGGCCCTGTGACCCTTCTCCAGCCGGCGCCTGCCACTAGACCCGTGGCCGCGCCTGCTGCTGCTCCTGCAGCTGCCCCCGCTGCCGCCACGCGCAAGGACGAGCCTGCAGCACTGTAGCGAGGTGCGGGCCTCACCCGCACCCTTGAGGTCCCACGTGCACCACTGCGCAGCCCTCCGCGGGCACTGCCCCGGGCCCTTCCACGCCCGCCCTTGGCTGTGCTGCTGTCACAGAGGAAGGCTGCGGTCAGCAGCAAAGCCCAGCATGTCGCAGCCATCCAGTTCATCTTCACGGGCAAAGCCTGTTGGGAGAGGGGGAAGGGGACTTCAGCTTCTGTAAGAAGAGGGGTGCTAAGGGTCTGGGGGCAGGGGTATATCAGGGATGGGGGAGAAGAACACAAAGGCCCGGCACCCAAGGCACCAGATGATTAAGTCCCGAGGGCAGACCTGGGACTTTTGTGGAGACCTGGGAGCTCAACACTCAGGGGATCGAGGAGGCCCCTGCATCTTGGGGGACAGCCTGCTTGCCAAGGATGAGGTAGAAGAGGGGGGTACTTGGCGATATAGGCCTGAGGTGGGGGTGGAACACCTGATGGCTTTAGGGGTGGCGTGGGAGATGAATAAGGGATGAGGAATCCCTGTGATGGGGCTACTCAGGCCTGGGGCCAGGGCTCCGCCTCTTGGTCTCTCCTCTGGGGTCTCTGGATGGATGGGCCATGCTGGGGGATAGTGGTCGTTGTTTGGAGGATGCTTTGTTGGGATGGAAGGCCCCATATGTTCTGATGGGGTTTGGCATGCCAGACCTCCGGGGACTCTGTCTAGCTAGGGCAGCGCGCACTGGGAGAGGGCTAGGGTCTGGGCCAGGATACCGAGATCTGCGCAGCGTGAGGGATGTGCATCGGAGACCCCGAGCAGCCCCCGCCGCGACAGGCCCGGACAACGCCAGGAAGGTCCTTTTTTGCCCCGCCCAGCACCCCATCGACCCCTCAGCCATGCGTGATCCAGGGTCCGCCAGCGACCCCGACTGGAAAGGACCAGCAGCTCGGTCCTTCTCCGGGACGCCCTTTGCTTCCAGTCTCCCGCTGGGGATGCCACCGCAGGCCTTACCACTGCAGGTCTCAGTCGGAATCGGGGGCCAGGAGCCGCTCCAGGAGTCAGGCCTGAAGAGGCGATGGCAGCGGCCGCGACTTTGCCGGAGGAAGTCGGGTGTGACTGGGCGGTGCCAGGCATCCGCAGGGGACTGGGGCGGGCAACACCCGGGCTCAGCCCTGGAGATGGAGGGAGGGAGGAGCAGCGCACAGCCCCCTGGCCCAGCCCTTGTCTGCAGCATCCCGCCCTCCTTCCTACTCCATCCAGCACCCCCGCCAGCTCCATCTGGTTCAACCTCCCCACATGTTCCCCATTCGTCCCTGTTACCCAGTCTCCCATTGCGTGCCCACCGGGCTAGGCAGCAGTCCTCATGGCCTTCTCTGGACCCCTGCTCCTCCCCACTCTACTTCCATACTCTCAGCCCGAGGCAGGTGGATGTTTTAGCCACAGGAACCACAGGATATTCCAAGTGGTGAGACAGCGCCTATCTGGGGCCCCAAGATCCTAAGTCTTACTCTTAAAAGACTCTTTCTGAGGAGCTTCCCCATGGACACTGAGAGGAACTGGAATTCTTAAGGTGGTCCTGTATTTCACACAGCGATCACTGTTCACACTCTGCCAGGCGATCATCTGCACAGCGGCACTGCACAGATAAATCCTCACAGCCCTGGACAGAGCTGTTTTCCAGGTCCTGTGGGGCTCGAGTACAGGTCACTTTTGGAAATGCCAGAGGGTGTTCTTTCTCCCCTCTGTCTCATTCTGTCTCTGTCTCTGTCTGTCTCTGTCTTTCTGTTTCTCTCTTTGTCTCTGTCTCTCAGCTTTTGTTGTTGTCATCAGAATATAGATATTATATTTATAAAATAAGAGCAGGACAGTATGAAAAATGAGTAAATAAATTAAAAAGAAACTTTTACATCTAAAAAAAGATTGCCCCATTCCGTCCCCCAAAAGGAAAGGGGATTTAGTATAAAGTTAAGGAAATGTCTCTCAAAAGATATGAACACAAGTAGGAAGTGTCCACCTTGAGGTTCAGTTTTGGCTGTCAGCCTGCTAGTTGTTCCAAGGATGAGAATAGAGAGGAACACACAGAGAGAGATCAATAATAAAGTAGGAAATATGAATGAAAGAGGCCCTTCTACTGATTTACAAGGCTATAACGTTTTATTTGAAGCATAAGATTTATCTAAGGATGTGCAAGGGCAATAAGAAAGCAAGGTATTCCTGTAATCCCAGAACGTAGGAGACCGAAGCAGGAGTGCCACAAGTTCAAGGCCAGCCTGGACTACATTGTAAGCTCAAGACTACAGAGCAAGATGCTGTCTTAAAAAAAAAAAAAAAAAAATGGCAAACTAGAAGGCAGACTCTTAAAGATGAGAAAGGAGGTCAGAGAGGGGGCAAGAAAGAAAGTAAAAATATTGTGGTAGTCAGGGGTTGTGAGGAGAACAATTAGAATCAGGACATGGAGTTTATATTATTATTTTGTGATGGTCACCCAGAGTTAACACAAAATGCAGGAAATATGTCCACAACACTAAAGACATAGAATATTTATTTAGTGAAGGCCCCGAATCCCACAGCAATGTCCTATATGAGTCCAGATAAAAACCCAGAGCCCATGACAGTTCCTCCCACAGGTCTAACTGGAAGTCTACAGCCCCAGGAGAAAGACTCACACCAGTCTCTTAAATGGATCTGCACTGGGAAGGCCCAAAGGTCAGCGGTGGGAGCTAGAAAGTCTATGCCAGCAGGATGAAGGAGCTGTGCTGGTAGGTTCAGAGTTCTACACTGGAGCTGAGAAGTCACGCTCAAAACAAAGACCAGGGCTGTCCTCAAAAGCACCACAGCCATCCTCAGTGACACGGAGGTCCTCCGACCATAAACACAGTCAAGTACATGCCAGGAAGCCAGCATGATGAGTTCATTCTTCAGGTTAAAGGGCACATGTCTTCCCCTCCAGAACTTGGAAGCAAGGCTCGATATAAGGACCAGAGCTCCCCCAAAGCGAACCACAGCCACTCTCACCAGCAAGGTCCCGAGCTCCTCTGATGACAATGGTCAAACTCACATTGGGGAAGCTAGTCATGACGAGCTCTTCCAGGAGAATCAGCAGGTCAAATACCAACATGTAGGAAGATCTGCAACACCTCCCTTCTCCTTCTCCACATCTCTATTTATGCTGGCAACTTTCCTCAGGTGGAACATCTATACTCAGCACTATGGTGATTTAAATCCACCAGTGTCAAGTTTTAAAAACTGATCACAGTTTTTAATCTATAACAAATATGTTCTATGCATATATCAATACCAAAATTGAATTATTTTGTATTACTAATATGCACTAATATTTTTTTGTCTTTTTGAGACAGGGTTTTACTATGCAGTTCAGGCTGATCTTAAACTCACTTCGTAGCTCAGGCTGACCATGACTTTGCAGTGGTCTTCCTGCCTCAGCCTCCTGAGTGCTGGGATTATAGGTGTGTGCCTCCATGCCTAGTTTACATCAATTTTTTTTTTAAATAAAAGAGACTAGGATGCAGTCACAAACAGGTAACTGTAAGGATATAGGGAGGAGGCAGTGTCTACCGGCCAAGGTAAGAGGCCTTGGGGAAACCAATCCCGACAAATTAAAAGGAAATAATTTCTGTTATGTGCATAACAATTTGTGGTACTAGCAAACTAATACAGAATCTAAGTGATTCTGCCTCAGTGGATGGGTGAGTGGAAGAACTTGAGTGACTCTAAAATTTGTTTAGAAAAAGACCTAAAACAAGTTAAATGATTTTGTTACAGCTTCCTTAGAAAGGAAATCAAACAAGAGATATTCATCATGCCAGATACTAAGACATTGCAGAAAGCCATGGTGAGAAGCAGTTCAGCTTGGGCAACGGACAAGGAGACTGGCACAAGACAACTGAGGGCACTATTAACAAGCTTCTGTAGGAACCCATCCTTCCCCATACCTCACTGTATGCATCTCTTCATCCAGGTCTTTTACAGAGTCTTTTAGTAAGCTTGTTTATAAGTAAACATTTTCTGTGAGCCTTCACTAGGAACTTGATTTAACCTGAGGAAGGGATTCCCAATTTATAGCGTGTTGGCTAGAAATACAAGTAAAACAACTTGGAGCTTGAAACTGGCATCAAAAGTGTTTAGGGATGTCTGGGGATTAAGCCCAAGAACCATCCCAAGTAAACTGTGTCAGAACTGAACTGAATTAGAGAACAGGCAGCCGGGGTCTACTGCAGAATTGGTTGCTTATTGTGTGTAACTCCCCTCATAAAATTTGGTTATAGAAATACTGTGTACTGAGTGTGAGAAACTTAATTTCTTTATATTCAGAAAATAGAGAACAAAATGGAAATTCTAGAACTAAAATATAGAAGATTAGATGTGGCTAGAGAGAGCTGGTAATTTGGAAGATGAGAAAGTATCCAGGGGAGTACACAGATTAGGATGTGAGGAGTCAGAGAACACCATAAAAAGGCCTGACATGATTATAATTGTATAAACAAAAGAAGAGGAAAAAGTGAAGTAGATGACAATGTTTAAGGAAATAGTGACTGAAAAGGAAAACTTTCTTGGAGGAGAGAAAATGGCGGCGTGCTAGGGGATCGAGCGAAGAATCTCTCCAGAGAATTCAAACTCAAAGCTAAAAAAAAAAAAAAAAAAAGACAGCATGGAGAGGACCAGACAAATCCATAGCGATTCTTATCAACCAAGACAGTACAGCTGGAGGATTTAAAGTCGTGCTGAGACCGGAGGCTGCAAATCCCGCGCCCTTAAATCAACGAACAGACTCGTGGACCCAACACGAAAAGCTGAGTTGCTTTTGGGGACTGCGGAAACTGAGACCCAGATCGAGACTCCAGGCGGCAGCCAGTTCTGCACCGCTGTACCAGAGCAGATGTACAGAGCTCTGGCGTTTCGAATCTAAACGGTGCACAGAAATCTGACCAGTCAGCGCTGAGCCGCGAGGTGGGGAAAAGTGGACGGCTTGGTGTGTGGTGGTCCCGGAGCTGGGACTTGCACCGGACTCTGGTGAGTATAGAAAACCCCGCGGCGGCTGGGTTTGGCCAGAGAACAGCTGGCCCGCCACCACGGGGAAATCAATAACACAGAATCTGGTGCAGACATATTAGCCTGGCGGCTGAAACCGCAGCTTGGTGACATCACCAGGACCCCCTGTAGGGAGGGCTGGTGGAAGACATCTTGAGTCCTGGCAGAGTCTGATTGCTTGCTGGCTTCAGCTCCGCACGGAGAACTTAGTGGGAGCCATCTTGGTTTTGGGCAGATCTGCTTTTCTAGAGCTCCTATCACAGAGAGGTTTGGAAGAGAACGGCTGGGACCTGGGCAGAATCCTGTGCCATTACCCAGCTGCTTCTGATTCAGGGAGAACTGGCAGGAGCTGTTGGGGCTAGATCAGGCCTCTGCTTGGGGCCCAATGGGCGGATGCAGAATGGTCACAACTCAGTGACAACCAGAAAGTACAGCCTAATTTATGAACTAACTGACACAGAGGCTAGAGACTAGACTGTACCGCCCCTGCATCCCAGCCTACCCCAGATAACAGCAAATTGGGGAGGACAGCAAAAACTCAAGCCAGCACGCTTCTGAAAGGTCCTAAGCAATTCGGAGAGGGCCAGAGAACTCCAGGACAGTCTGAAAGAAACCAGAAACATGACAAGAGATAAAAATAAAAAAAAATCTCCAGCTGTTCAACAGGAGAAATTAAACCCAAGAGAACTAAACACTGAAGAGAACAAGCACAGTAACCATCCATTGCTCGACTCAGCATCAGCCGAAATTAAAAAGTATTTACATGATCTCATAGAGGAATTTAAAGATGTACTCCTGATCCAAGTGAGGCAAGATATAAAGAGATTAATTAAAGAAATGACAAGCCCTGCCCAAGAGAACACAGATGGAAGAACTGAGGAAATCAGAAAAGAAAGAGAAGCATCTGAAGAATTTAAGCATAACTTAGAATACATGAAACAGATCCAAAGAGAAAATCAGGAAACTAAAAACTCCATTGAATATTGGCAAAATGCCTTGACAGAAACTAAAGACAACCTTCTGAAACTTGAAGAGAGATTTAGGGCTTATGAACGTGAAAGAAAAAGCCTCTTAAAAATAACAAGGAACCAGAAAGAAGCAATTCTAAAACTGGAAGATGATAAAAAGATGCATAACCTAAGAATAAAGAATGTGAGTGAGGAAGCAGGAACATCCAAAAATGAAATACAAAAAATATTCACAGAGATATTAAAGCAAAATTTCCCATGTATAGCAAAAAGAAATGATATCCAGATAAAAGAAGCATACAGAACGCCAGCTACCTACAACCAAAACAGATCTACGCCTAGGCATATAATAATCGAGATCCCAGAAATCCACCAAAAAAACAGAATATTAAAAGCAGCCAGAGAAAAGATGCAGGTTACCTATAATGGGAAATCTATCAAAATAACGGCAGACTTATCAACACAAACTCTTAAGTCAAGAAGGGAGTGGGGAGAAATATTCCAAGTCCTGAAGGAAAAAAATATGCAACCTAAGTTCATATATCCATCAAAACTCTCTCTAAAAATTAATGAAGAAATAAGATACTTTCAAGACAAGGAGGAACTGTGGGAGTTCGTGGCCACCAATCCAACCCTACAGAGAGCGCTGAAGGACATTACAGAGAAAGAGAGGAAGAGATATCAGGATTACAGCTACAGTGGCAGAGAGGCCTCAGTGTACGGGGCAGACCATGGAATGAGGGAATAAGGTGGACAAATTATAGCAGAAAAGTGGAGTAGCAGACATGAGGCAGAGACGGTAAGCTAGTCTTTGGTAGAGACAGCTCTGAAACTATATTTAAAAAAAAAAAAAGCAGAGGTCATTGCTAATGGTGTATAACGATTTAAAAGACACAGTAGTCCTAGTGCCATATTTAGATTGAATTAAATTTGTTCTGGTCTGTCCACTCATATCAGATTTGAGGACACAGACCTCTAGAACCAAAAATAGCAGGTTATACCATGGTAACCATCCTTACTTTCCTATTGACTTAAGCTGAAATCCTGTATTACTTACATTGTCTTACTATAACTGATCTTAATTGTATCTGAATCATAAGACTATTGGTTGGCCTTGACTGATCCTATTTGAAATCCGTATGTGTGTTAGAATCAACCCTAAAAGTAGAGGAAACTACTCTGAGCATGACAGGATGTAAAGGATATCCATACTGGTATGAATCAGTAACAGCTCTCAAATACTACAATGCAGTCAAAGATAAGTTTTTATAAAAATAGGTGATAGTATATTTAACTATAATAAGCCAGTGTTGTCGACAAATCTATTGAAAATAACAAGAGAAAACATAGTAGCTACGGAAGATCATTTATATTATAGTTTTGTAAGTCTTATCCATTGCATGTTTATCTAGGAAATTGTTTCGCTGTCTTGTTATGACTTGGTTTTCCCTATAATACAGAGAGGATAGGAACAAATACTCTGAGGAAGAGACCTGAAAAACCCGAGGCTTATTTTGTAGCATTATAATATAAATTCTAGCAATCTATTGCTTGCTGATTAAAATGACTCTGGACTGGTTTCTTCAGCTCAACTTCAGCATATGCAGAGATGGGGACGGCTATCACAAAGAGAATGAGAGATGCGATGGTAGTTGGAAATGTCTTCCCTAATTTGGAACTTGAGGACCCAAAGAGACTCCATCATCCTGTAATGATTTGATTAGTTCTATAATATGCAATAAGTATAGAAAGTGGGTGAAGTTAGGGACAACTATTTGTAAGAAGCTAGAGACAGTTGGATAAGGTAGATCTCCGGTGGACTTGCTTTGAAATCTGTGTTTCTTTAAATTGTTTTTTATTTTTTTTTAAATGTTCTGTTCTGTTTTGATATGGTTAACCTTATCCTCTTAGAGATGTAAAACAAATAGGTGGGACTGATAATCATATTACGGAGCTTTTGTTCGGCCATAGAGCAGAATGGTTTGTAGGGTCACTTTTTTGAATGTCATTCTAAATACTTTAATTCTATAACCTAAACAGCCATTTCGAAGAAGACAATTTGTAACTTATCAACTGGCAATTTCTTACCTTTTGTTTGTCTGTAATTTAGTATTATTTTTCCACCCTTTTTTTCTTTAATCTCCATGTATTTTTTTTTCGTTTCCTTTTCTTTAAATTAAAAAAAAAAAAAAAAAAAAGGAAATAGTGACTGGTACTTGGCAAAAACGAATGCGAGTGCAAGCCATGAGCTCTGAAAACGTTGCAGTGTCATGTACAACAAATACAAACCAAAAAACAAAACAAAACAAAACAAAAAAAAGCCATAGCCATATGCTCATATCAGCAGTACATATACTGAAGTTGAAAAGATACAGAGATGATTAGCATGGCCCCTGAGCAAGGATAACACGCAACTTTGTGAAACTGTCCATATTTTTATGAAACTGCCCTCTTTTAAAAGCTACAATAGTCAAAGACTGCACTGGTAAGATTTGATAAGCATCAGATTATATATATACCAATTTTTGAAAACAGCATAGCCATGTAAACAAGGAGATCTTAGCTTCTAGAATCAGGGAGACCCAAATTACCTAAGAAAGAATAAAAATAAGATTGACAGGTGAATTCTCAACAGAAAGAGAAGCAGTTGTTATTGTCAGAGTATGATTTTCTCAATCTCTTCCCTGACCACAAAACTGACTACCGAAGGTGGTCAGAAGCTGGGAGGCAGAGACAAAGATTACCCATCATGCAGATACTAGAAGGGAGCTGAAGTTGTTGAATTAATGGCAGACAAGTAGAATTTAAACCTTTAATGTAAAGAAGCACTACTAGAGAGAGTCATGTTTCCTAATGGTAAAAGGTAAAATTTACCAAGATGATAAAACAATTTTAATTTGCGTGCACTTTCACATAACCTTACAATGTACAAAGCAAAATTGCAAGAGGATATTTACTGCACCTTACACATAGATTTATGACTCTCTCACACAATAGTTTGTCCACCAAAAGCATATGCCATCAAGGACATACCCTAAATTCATCACCGTGGGTGTCATGAAGGAAATGGGACCAGAGTGTCGCTGAATAAGGGGATGTGAAAAGACACTTTTTCTTTCTAAAGATAGGCAGTGCTGTGCACTCAGTGGTACCATGTAGTCTTGCTGCACTCTGTCCACTCGGTATGAGAAGGCTTGGCTTGGATTATCAGAGCCAGCTGCAGATCTCTGGGCTAACATGAGGAGTCGGCTGGAATCTCACAGGAAGGAGCAAAGGGGCAGCAGATCCCAGTGTGGGGAGAGGGCCTGACTGCTACAGAAACTGTCCAGACTCCAGTGGTCAGGAGAGTGACACAGAGGGAACTTCCTACGAAGTCTGCACTGAGGCTTGGAGGCCAAAGAATCCGGGCTGCCAAGGTGGGGAGATGGCCCTGCTTGGTGCTGAGCTTATTCAGGAGCTGTCTTGTGCTCATTGCTGAGTTCTTTAGGACAGGAGGCCAAAGGCATTGATTGAGGAGCTGTCCCTGGGTCAGGGACTGAGTTCACTGGGAGGAACTGAGCGTCCTAAGGTTTTTTTGGTCTCAGCCACTTCCTGTGCTTGTTCAGATACTCAAGCACATGCTTTACTCTTGGCAGCTCTGACACAGGGTAGGGTGTGCAGGAGGAGCATTCTGACTGTGCTAGTGAGTGGAAGTATGGCTTGGCATGAGCAGTGGGCAGTGGTGACACCTACAAGCAGCGAAGAGCAATTAGCAGTTCCAGCAGATATTCCACAGTTGGCTGTCAGGAGCGGCCTGGGGCCTGGAGGAGTTTGGTCAGGGCCTCCCTGATGTCATGGTTTCTCAGGCAGTATATTATGGGGTTGAGCAGTGGAGTTACAACTGAGTAGACCAAGGACACCAGCTTGTTGAGGTCAAAAGAGGTGATGGCATGAGGTCGGGCATACATGAAGAGGGTGGTGGTATAAAAGATGACAACTACCACCAGGTGGGAGGTACAAGTGGAGAAGGCCTTGTGACGGCCAGCTCCTCCTGGAATCCTCAACACAATGGCCAGGATGTGGGCATAGGAGAAGGCAGTCACCAGCAGGGAGGTTGCGAGCACTGCCAGGGCTGCTGCAAAGTCCAGAGTTTCAATAGTGGTGGTGTCTGAGCAGGAGAGCTGTAGCAAGGGTGAGATGTCACAGAAGAAGTGATTGAGGATATTGGGGCCACAGAACCTGAGGTGGGAGATGAGAGCCATGGATATGAAGGAGGCCAGAAAGCCACCAAGCCAGGCACTGAGGGTCAGGTGCAGGCAGAGCCTAGAGTGCATGATGGCTGGGTAGTGCAGTGGGCGGCAGATGGCCAAGTACCTGTCACAGGCCATGGTGGCCAGAAGGAAGCACTCCGAGGAGCCAAGTGAGAGGAAGAGGAATAGTTGAGTTAGGCACCCTGAGAAGGAGATAGCCCTTGCCTGTGCCAGGAGGCTGGCTAGAAGCTTGGGGATGGTAACAGTGGTGTAGAAGATCTCCAGCACTGACAAGTTGGCCAGGAAGAAGTACATGGGTGTGTGCAGTTGGCGGCTGGCTCCAATGGTCCCAATGATGACCAGATTCTCCAGGAGAGTCACCACATAGATGGTGAGGAATAATCCAGATAGCAACCCTTGAAAATGGCACAGCTCTGAAAAGCCCAACAAGATGAACTCTGTCACCAGAGTATCATTGGAGTTGCTCATCATCTTTCCTAACCAGGGAGGTCACTTCTGAGTGCAACAGCAGAGATTCTGATATGGTATGGGATGAAGCCAGGACCGCAGCTCTATTTACTGCTAAGGGCTGCTGGGACCCTTTCTGCTGAACCCTTGTGGCTATCTAAAGATCCAGAAACCTCCTTCCTGAAGCTCCCAAGTCCTGTTGGACTTATGGATATCTTTGGGATCTGCTGAATTACTTACCTTTGTTCCAGCTCTTGCCTTAATTCATACATTTACCCATAGCCAATGGGCCTTGGAGCCTGTACACACCAGGATGAGCAGAAACACTCCTTTTCAGTTCATATATGTTCCCTCAGGGGCATGATTTTTCCTTCCTCAACACATAGGTAAATCATTGAGTATGTGTGCATACCTAGGTACACAGACACCCATATCCATGCCCCTGAGTGTGTATGCACACAGCAGGAACGCACATACATTGTGGGCATGTACCTACCTTAGATACACATGTCCACACACAACCCCAGGAAGATCCACTTGCTCAGTGTGCTTCTATAGAGCTGTGTGCTCTTGTTTGTCTCTGTCCTCATCCCTGTTGTCCCTGAGATGTGCTGGCTGGTTCATGTTGCTCACAGGGAACCTCAGGTCTCAGGAAGGATAGGTGAGGGTCTACAGGGCCACCCTATAGCCAGGCAGGGAAGTGAGAGCTCATTCCCACCAGTGATGTCCTGAGACAGCTCAGTGGAAGTTCAGCCTGAAATCTGTACCCTGAATTGTCTTCACAACAAAGTGTCCTCAAATGGGCCATGTGGTTTGGGAATTTGGATTCAGGTTACCTCTCCTGCTAGAAGCTTGGATGCAGATGCGCTGACTGCACTGGTGGGTGACCTGGGAAAGATGATGAGGAAAGATCTCCTCTAGCAGTCTAAGCTGCTCCAGTGCCGCTCTGGGGCATTTCCCTTTTCCCTCACACTCAGCTTGGAGAAGGTGTGGAGCCTCCGGACCCCTTTGACCTCCAGCACTGGGGCTGTCCCTGCCGTGCTGGTACAGGCTGAGGGAGATCGCAGAAGGATGCGTCTTTGGCACGCTTATCCATTTTCCTCCATGCACCCTCCTACCTGGTATGGGAGAGAGCTCAGCTCATCTGGCTGCTCCTGGCTGGGTAAGAGCTGAGAGCCTCTCATGCGCCAAAGGTTCTTAATCAGGGTGCAGGGCAGGGTCAGGGTATGGCTGCTCCAGATTCTCAGTGCGGGAGGGCTGAGAGGTGACTTGGCCTAAGGGATTCGGTTGGAGGAGTCTCATTGTCCACCACCTATCTCAGCATCCTGGGGAGAGAAACAGGTTGCGAATCTTCAGCAGGGTACAGCTTGCCAGAGGGCACATGGAGAGGTAGAACCTTGGTGAGCTGGAGGCTTGAACAGGCAAGCTGGGAAGTGCAGGGTTCAGTTGTGGGATACCACACCCCAGGCAGAGATGGCATCAAGCCGCTGGGGTCTGAGCTTTGAAGACAGCTGGAGAGGGTGGGTACTGCTGCCTCTGGGTCAGAGGTGGAGAAAGAGGTCTTGAGTTCAGATGCTGCTGTGTGAATGGCCAGCCTGGTGCTGGGACCTGGGGTAGGGGTGGGATGCGCTCGGAAAGTGCTGTCCTGGCCGTCTTCCTTGGGCCTGTTCTAGGAGACCAAGTCCCACAAGCCCAGCCTCCCCTCAGGAGGCAGGGTCCCATAGGGTGTCTGCAAGTCTTTGAGCGAGGCCTGCTGCCTTTGGCCCCGAGTGGTCTTCGTTCAGCTCCCCTGTGGCCTTCTTCAGTCCTCCTCCCCCAGCCTGGCAGACTCTAGTTGCTCTCAGAGCAATTTGTGGTGACTCTGTGGAGGCACCTGTGGGCCCATGGTGAGGGTTATGTAATAGGAGGTGCTCAGCTGGGAGGTGTTCTGTGTCTCTTCAGCGCCAAGGGAGCTTCCTATAGAACATGCTCCTTGGTCGCTGGGCTTGAATCCCTGCCCAGGGAAGCCTCAGTCTTAATACCCTTTTCCTTGAGTTCGGGGGCCATGTGTACTGCCCACAGACTTCAGAACACATGTTTTATTTTCTTTTCAATGCATGGCATTCATTAATTTATGAAATGATTTAAAGAACATTTACAACCCTACCTTTAGCCCGAGAGAAACAGTGCTAAGAAATGACAGCACTCCCCACCCCAGGACTGCTCACTGGGACTGTCGTGCTGCTTAAAGCACTCTGATTAATCACATGACTTAGTTTTACTCATATGTAACTTGATAACAGAGGGTATCGTGCCTTATGTTTTTTTCTGTCTTGCTTTCCCACATGCTAAGATTTTTACTTTTCTTGGAAAAGTAAAAATTTTCTGTATTTCTTGGACGCCTCTGTAATCTTCCATGGCATGATGGTAGCATAACCTGGGTCCACTCTTTGCTGATGGTCACTTGCATCTCCATTCTTTGTTGCTGTGGTGATATTCCTGCTTATAGCTCCTGCATCCTGCTGGAACAATTCTCCTGGACTTAAACATAAGATGAAGAAGAATGTTGGGGTTGAAATTTGCACGAAACTTGACAAGAAATGCCATTTTTTTCAAACTATGCTAATCACACACCTACGTTTCATCCCTACCCTCTCAGCAGGGGTTGTGGCCATATTTTAAAAATTTGGAAAATTGGCGGGGAATAAATGTATCTCATTATGGTGGTGATTTGTATTTTCGTGATTCTATTAACATCATGT